TGGGGCCCCAGCGCTGGGTGAGCCCGCCCGGCCGCGGCCTGCAGCCTGCCCCTGCCCCTGCCCCGCCGGGCTGGAGCTGCCCCCGGCCGGGCTGGAGCTGCCCCCGGCCGGGCTGGCTGTTGAACCGGCCCCGTTTCTCCCGACGCTCACATCTCCACCTTTTGCTGCAACCTGTTAAATCCTGAAATCGGCCCTGCGCCCTCATTTGCTGCCCCAGCCCCGGGAGGTGGTCGCTCGGCTCTGTGAGGCCGTACCGAGGGCAGCCCTTTATTTCCCGGGGAGGAATGCATTTCAAGCGAGACGTGGAAAGCAGTCGGGGTACTGTCAGCCACGGGAACTTCTTTTCGACTTAGGACGTTGTTTCTGATTTTAGTTTCTCAGCCGTGACCTCATGGGGGCATTGACGTCTTTGTGAGATGTCAGCGAGGGTGTGCTGATGTTTCTTTGAACCCAAGCTTTTGTTCGAATTCCCTCGGTAACTCTTTAAAATAGTCAGAGAAAGGCTTCTTAACTTACTCTGTGGGTTTGATTTCTGCATTTCTCTAAGTTTCATCTGCTTTTAGAACGTCTCTGAAAAGCCGGGGTTCTGATTCCTTGAGGCTTCCTTGGGGAGCAGGAAGTGGAGAGCTTTTCTGTCACTCACCTCGGCATGGTTCTGAAAGCTGACTGGAAATGGTAGCTTTATGAGCTTTGTTTCTTCAGAACCCCTCAGCTTCTGGACACGCACATTTGTGCACATTCCCTGACTGACAACTGTAGTAAAACCTTTCTCAATTGAATTTTATTAGATGAAAGACAATGCCTCTTGTTGGTATTTATCTTTATAATGATTGTGCATTGTAGGCTTTCTGGCTGGTTGTTTGGATTGGTATTTCCCATATGAGGAAACAACCACAGAGAGCAAATTTGGCATTTTCAAAAAAGGTCGCCAAGTGTAATAACCACAACTTGTGGATTTAGCAGCTCTTTTCTGGTTATAGCAAGCATTCCCAGCTTTTCTGTGCATCTTGTGGAGAGGGAGACAAAAGTCTCAAGGCATGTATCCAAAATGGCCAGGTCTATGAGCCTCTGGACTAAACGCACTACCTACAGCAAGACATCAAGGTGTTTGCTAGACAGTTGTACGCTCTTCAAATATTCACTGAGCCACGTGGCTTCCTTTGAAAGTTAACTGGCTTTACCAGGAAACCATTTTTCACATTAATGCTGTATCCTGACTCTCCTATGAGAAAAAATAAAATGGGGGAGGCTGTACACAGACCTGATCATCTGTTGAGAGATGACGTTTCTTAATATTTTAAACCTACAGAAGGGTATTCTGTTAGGCTTCGGATTTTGACTGGAAAAACTCCCAGCAGCACTCTCCAGCCATTTTCTCTGGAAAGCCTGTTCTTCTATAGGACTTGGAGTTGTTTACAACAGGCCCTCCAACTGATACAGTAATTTTACACTATTCTAGTAAAAAAGAGGTGCTTCCTTAAAATAAACAACTGTGTGTGGGGAAACCTGCGAAATCCAGGCCACCCTGTACATCTCTAAACTAAGTGTTACTGTTTTCATTTTTCAGTGGCTTGAATACTTGAAAATATGGGGTTGTAGAGGTAAATTCTGCCGAACAATCATAATGCCACTCTTTGTTCTGTTTAAGTATGATCCTGTCAAAGATTGCGTGCCTTTGTAGTAGATGTTAAATATTTGGAACTGATAACTAAACAGTTAAACAGGTTTACAGTATATTTTTATTTTCTAATACCATATTGATTGCTTTTGGATGGAAGCTGGAGTTACAACTGAGTTACACAGACATAATAAATTTCATAGATTTGCAGTGGCAAAGGGCTTGCTACTGAAGATATCAAAGAGTTAATGTGGCTGTAACAGTTTGATTGCATTGGGAATAGTGAAATTTTGTAGGTCACTAGTGTACCTGTGAAGGGCAGAAGGCATGATAGTGGTGTCTGTTTCAAAATCATGTGGTCTCTATTGAGAAATGCAAATGCTGTGGCATAGAGAGAATACGAGTGAACAGAAGGCCTGTTAGTGTGTAGACCATTGAACAGTAAGACTTAACCCTGTGTATGTAAAAACTATGTTCAGGCATAAACTTGTTCCTTAACGCTGGGCTAGAGCAGACGTAACAGGAGAGAATGCATAGGGTTGGGAAACGTTAAGGGGCAGAAGTGGAAGGAGAAATAATCCTCGGTGACACAGACCTGAGGCAGGGAAGATGCATCGTCAGACTCCAGGTGAGATATTTTCCATCTGTTAGCCAGAGGACAACTGTTCTGTGTTTTGTCTTGACACTGTTAGAAACTCCGCTGTCCCCTCCAGGTCGGATCACTGATGCCCTTCAGCAGGAACTACCCATTGCAGATAACTGAGCGTTTCAGCCACCTAGTCAGCGTGTTCCTTAGTTTCTACACATTGATAGCTGAAGGTTTGGCTCAAAGTGGTGTATGAAAGTCAGATTGTCTAGTGTCCTGGCTAATTAGCAGGAAGGAAAAAAGTATTTTCAGTGATGCTGCTGGAATTGAAAGTTCATCTAAGCTTTGGATTACACAGAAGGATAGTAGTGGAAGTTTTCCAGAGGTCCAGGAGCCTGGGATTTTTCTCAGTCCATGGGGCATTGGGGGTCATTTTCCATTCAGTGTGTCCTCTGTCATTAGTTGATGCTGTTAACAGCATCCCGCCTGCACTCTGAATTGCACATCAGAAATGGCTATTGTCATAATGAAAAATAGAAACAAGAAATAAATTCTGTCACGTATATGTTGTGGCCTTGAGGTTGTGTCACAGTAAACCCTTCTTCATGTGTTTGGGAAAAAAGAAAGGCGACCAGTGCGTGTCACGGTGTAGCCGGTTTGTTTGCTCAGGTGAAGGAAGGAGGTGCACAGGGGACTCCATAGCTTGTGAGAGCCATTGTCTTTTTGGAACTGAGAGGACAGTTGCCTGCTTCTCCACCTTGAATGAGTAGTCTTGAAGCATAGCCCTACACAGCGGTTTGAGTGAGATTTGTATGAAAATTGAAAAGTACAGGAGATGAATGATGCCTTGTCTAAATTTGTCGTCATGTAAACCAGTAATTTGGGACAGCTTGTACTGAGTTGCATATGTGGGAGCCTGAGCATTAGGTTTGATGTATGAAAGGGAATGATCAAGTTATTGCCACTAAAAGATGCATGCTATTAAATTCTCCAAGTCCTATGCATATAATTTGTAATTTTATAATTTTTATTCTTTAAAAATCAAATGACCTACCAAGACTGTGCAGCTGGCATGAGATGGCGTTTCTCGTCATGGTTTCTGGGCAGTACTTGCAGAAACCGAATTAGATGCAAGTCTCTGTTCTGCATACATGTGTGCAGGTGGACTCTCGGAAGCCTCCTTCCTTGCTGGATGATACAAGGAAAATGTGAGGAGTTATTTCTGCCTTTCTTTCTGATCAATTGGATGTTTTGGCGTCTGTAATAACATCGTTTTTCCCAGCAGCGAGTGGAGAGCATGTGAGAGATGAGATAGAAGGCTTGTATTGGCAATTGTGATGGATTTCTTTCCCAGAGAAGTCAAGTTAGCAGTTCCAGTGTTGGGACTATGGCTGTAGGAGCTGAACCTCCCAAATCAAAAATACTACCAGTTCTTTTTATTGAGGCTCAGTTAAGAATAATACTGGACAAGAAATAGTGCCTCATCTTTTGGTTGTAGCATGAGAGAGTGGTCCTTCTAAGGGTTATTTGGGGTGCTCACTCTTCCCATCTCTGCAAATATGCATTGCTGTCTAGTTCTGTTGCATCCTAGTTTTACCAGAAGGTGCAAAGTTGACCAGTGATGGCGTGGTTCTTAATAGCAGTAATGGCAATAAGTAACACTTTGGAAATTTGATTTTTCCAAAAGCCCAGAGCAGCACAAAATAAGCTGCAAGTTTTTATACAATCAGGAACAGAACAATCTTGATTTTAACAAAACCTATACCTACTTCTGTTATATGAAGGTTTTTTGGTTTTTTTTTTTTGGTCAAGGAAAACGGTCTCCTTATTACTGAGTGCCTCATACCAAAGGAATTACTTTTAAGCTGTTCATTTTAGCTTAAATCTTTTTGTCATACTTTATAACATTTCAGAATTTTAAAAACACTAGTGAAATCTTCTAGACTTTTTATCACATGTAAGAAGGAAGAATATTGCAATAAACAAGAGGTGCAGTTTTCTGTCAAACCTTACTTAAGGACTGGTAATTACAAGAATACCTGGACTGGTTATATTGGCATTTATGAAGCTCTGTGAGAATTTGGTGATAAAGGAGTATCTGTGGGGCATGTCAGCCCAGAAAGGTTTGGTGGAAATTAAATTCAGCTTTAAATAAAAAGCTTGTCGCAGCACAAACAATTAATAGATTGCTACTTGAAAATGAGTTTTCTCATAGTCTTTGGAAGGCAAGATAAAATATAGTTTCTTGTCAAGATGCATCTGATTTTAAATAGCATCTCATTTTACTTGTTTGCTGGTTGCATTGGTGCATATTTTTGAAAAGTTACATGCTGCAAAGCTCTGTCATAGTATCCATCTGTTACAAGCTATAGTGTATTTCTTCCAAATGGAAATATCCTTAACATGTGAAATTAATAATTCAGCTAATGGGAATTGACTGATCAAATATTACACTGTGTAGACTACAGCTTCCAAGAAAATTGCTGATTCCGAGTTAACTCATGACTTAGGAAGAAGACTGGCAGCCCTCTTGTGTTAGTTTCTTAGCTGCCGAAAGTGGGAATTTCTATGTGGCTAACTTAACTGCAGTTGAATCTCATTCTGGAGTTATCATCTTGTTTTTTAAAGCAACCCTGATGATCTTGTCATTCAAATTCTGTTGAAATAAAAATTAATGGCTCAGTTGAGACGTGTCCATTGCAGCTTGGCATGAGTTGTGCGGTTTCAACAAACTTCATGAAACTTTAACAAACCAATGTTCCACTAAACCTGCTGTTAAAATACATCAAGATACCACTGCAAAAGGTCATATGTGTTATAACAAGCTGTAGTTTTCTCCTTGTCGGAAACACTTGGGTTTAGGTGTTTTATGCTTGAGGACTGTGGGAGTGAGTGGCGAGTAGTTCTGTATCAGAATGCGTGAATGAAGCCTGCCTTCCTGTAGAGTTACTTGTTTTGTTTCCTTGACGTTTGGGAAAGCATAAGCTCTGAACTGTTTCTGCAGATGGAGTGCTTCATGGGGCTGTTTTTACGGATTCCTTTGTGTCTGCTGAGCTATGTGTTCAGTCTCTTGGCATTTCCAAGGTCTCTGTCATATAGCTTATTGTAATGAAAGTTGGAGTTGATGAACCAATATTGATTAGTTATTTTCCTTAACCAAATTTGGTATCGTCTTGTGTGTACAATGGGAATGGAGACATCAGCAGTTAATTGTTCTTCCTGTAGCCCGGGCTGAGCATCCTCAGTTTCTTACAGGAGCTTGCTTGGTCAGCCCATCTTTCCCAGTCCCCTCTTCTCTGGAGCAGTTGGGTGTCCACAGACCATCTCATACGCTCCACCTGTGGTGAGGGAGGGTCACCCTTCCCCTCGGAAGGGAGAACTGAAGGAGCAAAAAGCCCCTTGGTTCCTTGCACCAAGGAGTTCAGATGATTTTCCCTGCAGTTCACCACCCTTCAGCCAAATGTTGACTCTTACCCCTGCCTTCCTAAGGCATGGATAGTTAGAATGGGGGCTGACTTCTGTCAGGTTTGAGGCTGCCTTAAAAACAATTCTTACCTTGGAAGTAAGGACTGTCCTTTCATGTGAACTCTTAGCACGGCTTTGGAGATAACCAGCCAGTTTGTTACATGACTCAATTTTAGGCCATCTAAAGTAGTCCATGGAACATCGTTTTATAAAAAGGGTGGGGAAAAAAAAAGTGATGCAATATCCACTCTAGAACGTGGAAAGCTTTCTTAGGTTTGGCTTAGACTTAATAAACTATGTTAAAATTTCATATTTCAGATTTTGGTTTTGCTTGTCAGCTTGGTATCCGGTCGTGGTATTCAGGCAGGTTTGCTTATAGCTAGAAACAGCAAAGTTACTGCTTATGATAGAGCCACTCAGGTCTTATAATTGTACTATACTGCTTCTTGAATTACAATGCTGATTTAGAAATACAAGAAGATACCAGAGGTTGAAAAGTGTTAGATGACTATTAAAAGTGCTACAAAGCATATTGGAGCTGCTTTAATATGAATACTCGTTCCTTCCCTTCAAGTTGCTGGGCTGGCAGAAGTACAAAGGCTATGGCACAATACTAAGGCTTTTAAAGCAATTTTACTTTGTTGTCTAGATAGAAGATAGCAAATTTCTGCTTTATCTTTCTGAGTGTTCTCCCCTCTTCTGCTTCCCCAGTTTGTTTTTGGGTAGTCCCCTTCCCGACTGATGAGCAGGCTGGTGTGTAAGCAGAAGATTTGCTTGAAAAACAGCCCTGGGATGTTAATATAAATCATCTCGATTTGAGGGGCGGTGTTTTGTTTTCGTTGAAGCCATTAGCATTACTGCTGTGTTTCTGTTACCCTGAGAGGTGTGAGTGCAACTTGATGAGACTGTGAACAGGAACAGGTTCTGGGGATGGATTCACCTTGCTTTGTTGGCCACCTGCAATAAAAATGTCTGTTTGAGGTGGTCCTATGGGCTCATAATGTGTTACGAGCTTAACCTGAGCTGGTTTAGGTGCCTACTTAGTATGAGCTGAAGTGCATCCTAGTTGTGCCAGTTTCTCTTTTCTGAAGATAATTTAGTCTAGAAGAGTTTATCTTAAGACTTAATAAATACATTATTCCAGATAAAACTTGCCGTGGTTAGAGGAATAAAATGGTATTTCCAACCAAAAGGAGTATTCGGGTTTTTGCCTGTAATGAAAGATTGATTTTTCAAGATCCTCAGTTTTTGCTGTTAATATTGGAATATGGTAATGTGTGCTTTTTACATTACTAAGGAGAGAGTTGGATTTGGTGCAAAACTGCATATTAAAAATCAAGGTATTCGCTGTTATATTCAGTATTTTTGTTTTTTGCACCATTGTCTGATGAAATGTCATGGTTTTCTTTTAGGATTACGTTTTTGGGAGTTGCTGTTTAACCATGTTTGCCAGTCTGGAATTACCTGAAGACCTGTTGCATGTCACAAAATACTGAAGTTGTGGAATTTGTTTTGGTAAGTAAAATAAGTATATGATGCATTTGAGTATCTCTTGTTCTTATATATTCTCCTCCTAACTGTACCACTAATAGGTCCTTGCCTCTAATGTTTGTGTGTGTGTTTGAAGGGCTGGGCTGTCTTTCAGAGCTGACTTTTCAGTCTGCCGTAGAGGGTTACGGGCATTTGTCATCAGGTTTGTAGCTGTTTTCAGACCTTCCTCCCAAAGAGGACAGTTGAGACGCTTTTGTGGTGTTATCCCTCTTAAATGCTAAAGTTTGAAGTTCCAAATTGATGGAACTACTCCTAGCTAAGTTGTTCCAGAGGAAATTTTGCTGCATGTTTATTTTTAGGTATTCTTTCATATTATAACAGTGATTCTTAGCCTTACTTAATCTCCTTGTGTAACAATATGACACTTGTCTAGAAGTTGTTTAAAAGTCTCTTTTGTGTATTTTTGCCAAAAACAATTATGTCATTTTAATCTTTGTATCATAGAATGGTTGTGTGTGTATATAGGTTTACTCATTGGTCAGATTTAACAAGCTCCAGGATCACTATGCTAGGCAACAAAATGGTTGAAACAGTTGTAGGAGGATAATACGCTGTTAACAAGTTTGCAATAAAAAGTGTTATGATCAGACTGTTTCTGGGTTTTATAGGTGGTACACTGTAAAAGTATGCCTGTCTGGGTGCATGTGAGTACATGTTGTGTATTAAAATAAAGCCACCTTCTTAACAATATTCTGGCAATGCTGAACCTCCTCCATCCCCATCCTGAAAAACTTAATAAATGCCTTTACATATTTTCTCACTGGCACCTAAACCAAATGAAACAAGAAAACTTTCAAGTGGATTATTCAAGACATTTTTTTTTTTTTTTTTTTTTTTTTTTTCCTTCCTAGTAAGTTGCTTGAAAACTGTTTTTCAATGAATGCAAAAGCAAGGAGGGTTCTTTATCCTTCAGAAATTATTTTGCTACTGCTATTGGAGACTTTTTCTCCTCACTCTCAGTTCTGGATTCCCCAGGGGACTTGATTGTAGTCTCATTTCTGGACTGTTTTTTCTTTCTCTTCCCTGTTGCAGCTTTAAATAATAGTCAGTGTGAGGATGAGGACCCTGCTCAATGCTAACTTCTGCCATCTGCTAGTGAAGGCTGACAGTCAATCCTTCCTTCTGCTCTCGCCCTTTCCAAACTTTTGTGTAATTTGGAAGAGTACTTTTTCAGGTGTAGAGCAGGATTTTAGTACTTTCTATTTAATTGGGCTTCTTGCATGTTTGTTTTGAGAGGGTGCATGTTCTGGTGTGACATCAGTTGTGAAAGTGTTTATTCTGAGTTGCCTGAAATGTATAAACAGCTTGTAAATCAATAAATAGACTGTATTGCAGAAAACCTTGGGCAAGTTACTAGACAAAGCTTGGTTTTGGTTTACTGACTTGTGTAGTGCCATGGTTAGAAGAAAGCAGCACAAGAGGTTTCACATTCTGTTTAAGAAACAAATTGACATAACCTTAAGTTTGGATCAGTTGAGCGGATCTTGGGATGAGGATACCAAGATACCAGGTTTGTTTGGGGTTTTTTTTTTTCCTTTGTGGTTTTTGTTTTGTTTTGTTCTTTTTTTAACCCCAGAGACCAGTACTTCCATCTGGCAGTGCTGGCACTCCAGAGCCTTCTGGCTTTCTGGTGTGCAGCTGTTTCCCAGCTAGTGACAACTGGCTTTTTCAGATTTTGCTCTAATCCCATCTCTCCCAGGGACTGGATGGGATTTTCTAAGTATTGCGCAGTCACGTGGCACTGGGTTTGTTGTGCAGGCTTCCTTTTACTATCGGGGCTGTTGGTGGGCGGCAACATGTGGCATGATAAACTGCCTTCTGGGTTCCCCGTGGTGTGCAGTGGGACCCAGCTGTCCATCAGCCCGGAACTAGACTGTGGCATTGCTGCACGCTACACAAATTCTTCCTCTGGAGAGCGTCTCTCTTGCACATCTTAGTCTGTCCATTATTTTATCCATATGCGAAGTGTACCAGGGAGTTTCAGCCTCCAGCAGCCCAGGGTGTGCACTGTATCCTTCAGTTTGGACACTCCGGTCTTCATGGGCTGTTTCCTGCCACTCCCTACCACCATACAATACTGCAGGTGCATTTTGGTTATCAGTCTGTTATCTGGCTATTTATCCCTGCCTCTCTTACTTCGGTTACATATTTTTAATAATTAGACCGTACTGAATAAGACCAACTTTATAATAAACAGGCTTAACACTGCCCCAGGCCAGGTTCATGGGTAGATCGTTGCCACGTGGTAGCACAGGACTTGCTCCGAGTTTCCAGAAACAATTGCATAATGGGAAATATTAAATCGGAAACTCTAAAACAACAGGGTGCCAGGGCAGGGAGGAGGCCATGCATGTTCTTTGAACGGAGGACGATATTCGGAGACCTTTTTGTGCTGCCATGTGAGCATGAACGCTCAAGTTCATGAAATGCACTGTGGTTATGCAGATCAATTCAAGTATGGTTCTTACTCATCAGAGATACTCTATAGCCTGCTGGGAGTTCATCTTGTTTACAGGAATCGTTGAATGACCGGAGTTTTACCTGTGTGTGCTTATGCTAAAGGCTTTTTGTGTTTATGTGGAAGAGTGCTGAGCAAGGGTACACGCTAATTATGGTCATGTCCTGGCTTGTGATTTATGGAAGTCAACCCTATAACCAGGTGACAGAATTTGTTAGGACGAAGGATGCAGCTGGGATTCATTGGTTTGAGATGGACAGTGTGCTGTGCTCTGCCTGAAGAGGAAGATTTCACAAATCATTACTTCCTCCTGTGATACTTGAGATAAATTATACCTGAATATAGGAACGGACTAACCTGCGTGTGTTTGAGAGGGAGAGAGGGAAGATGGATGTAGCAGAGATCCTTCAGGAGTATCATGTGGGAAAAAAAAAAAAAAAGCAAAGGGAGCTGTAGCTACATGTTCTTGTCCAGAAAGTAACATTTAAAGCTCAATCTTGGTTTGTTTTTTTTCTTAACTCAAGCTTTTCCTGCAGTCCTATGATTTTCTGAGTGAAATGAAAAAAGGCCTGTCGTCCATTGGGATTTAGCAAACTGTATATAAAATAGTGTTCATGAAGGGCCAAAAGTTTAACAAATCCTGTCAGGTTTTGGCACATTGAGGTGAGGCTGGTGGAATCTGGTCTAAGCTACAGCATTTTCATGAAGTCTTTAGAACCGCGGTTTAAGTAGTCTGGGAGTCTTCTGCTCTTTAACAGAGAACATGGATGCTTCAGACACTTCCATTCAAAAAAAGATTTGAAATGTTTGTGTTCTTATAGAGAAATTTTTATTTCTTTGGTGTCAGGGATTGTCAGAAGTACTCGTGTTTCTTGCTGCAGGTGGAACACACCATCCCCTCCAAGTAATGGTGCTTTTTCAACATGTAAGAGCCTGTATATTGAGCTGAGATTTCTGTCCCTGAAAAACTTAATCAAGATGTTCAGATAAATAATCTTCTGTGTAATTTTTCTCAAAATAAGAGTGCTTATATTTCACAGGATGCTTGTCTCATTCAGTGAACAGAATGACTGTGCTTGGTCATTAAAAAGGTTATTTGTGTAGTATTCCCAGCTTCTTTTTCCCTCAAGTCAGTGTATATGTAATGAATGATGTAGGGATGCAGAAGGAGAAGGAATTCTATCTTGGTTGATGTAAAGCCAGCTCTGGTAAAGAAGTTCCCTGTCCAAGAAATTATGTGTGAAAATCAATTAAAACAGCTTTTCACAGGTGCTTATTAATTGTCATTCTCATTTTCTGGGCACCTGACATGAAACTGAGTAGTTAAACTTAATAGAGGTGCCAAACACTGACCTGTAATTGAGATACAGAGCTGAGCAGCAAGGAGTCTGGGGAAGAAAAGAAGATTTAATTGTCTCCGTGTTCACCTGGTAATGAATTTTTTAAATTTTTATCTCTATTCCCCATCTTTAAAATTTCCATGGTAATAATAAGTAACTTATGAAAGCACTATGGAAATAGATCAGTGACTGTGAAACATTTTTACTTACTTTCTGTTGCAGGACAAGAAGAGCTTGTGAGACAAAATTAGCTTTGTTTTTAATCCAAGATTTGAGTCGTGTTTGAGAATGAAGGCCTGGTGCTGCAGTATGAAGAGAATAACTATATGTAAAATAGGTGATTATTCATTAATGCCATTTAGCCTGCCTAGTGTGGTGTAGGGTTGAAAGGGAGAAAAAAACCCTGTATTATGTAAAATCACAGTGTGTGCATAGAGGCCTGACCAAAAGCTGAGGGTATTTTGTGACTTCCAAGGCCTTGTTTTTTCATTTGTAATATTGTCCCTTCAGCAATGTTACACGAGTGTGCAAACAATGTAGAGCTGAATCTAGTCTAACATAGTTAGATTTTTTTATTAGAAAAGGCTGTTTTCTGGCCAGTATCTACAGCTCACCTTTTAATCTTGGAGCTGTGGTTTTAATTTGTGTTGGGAACTTGAACCTCTGCCAAAAACCCAATCTGTATCCTATTCAAGGGTATGTCATCCCAAACTAAATGTTTTGGGTAGGTTGTGCTGAATACTGACAGCTTTGGAGTTATGAGGTCTTGACAGTCCTGGCCGTTGAATTGATTTGTTTTTGACAGCAGTGTTCAGGAACAGGTCCCTTTTTTGGTTTTGACATCAGCTTTGGCTGTTGGTATAGATGGTTTTAATCTTTTAGCAATACTTGCAAAGCGTTGCGGGTGGGAATAGAGGTCTCGCCTGAAGGAGTTAGTGCCATAGCCCTTGTAACGGCTTCTGTTGGAGTGGAAAAATTTCTATCTTAACTAAATGGTATTGTTCACTGTAGATGTAGGGAAAACTTTTATCGTAGTTGTACTTTTGTACACATAACAGCTTAGATTACTATCATAATGTCAAGTAAAAGTTATTGCGAAGTCTAGACATTTCATAAAGTAAAAAACATCCAGTATGTGATTTGATGTACTGATTTCATTCTTATCCAAGCTCAATAGGGGCATGGGGGGAGTTGTGAGCTAGCACAGGGGGAGCAAATTTCAGGTTGTAATGTGCATAAGCAGGTGAAAACACTTAAATCTTTACAAACTTTTAGAAAGAAGGCATAGTATGCCTGAAATTTCCCTGGATGTGAGTTAAATATTTGTCAAATGCTAAACTTCTGGTGGTAAAAGTGCTATGGCTTTCCTACTGCTTTGCTGTACAAAGGAGTGCCTATTGCATCTGCAGTCCCTGAAACTAAATTTGCTGTTTTTTTCCTATCTTTCTATAATTAAAGTATTGCTGTGAGTCTTAGAATTTCCTGGCAGTCAGGCACTGCAGAATTGGTACTGGGTGCTTGCTTGTCCTCTGTACGATATGGAGATGAAAGTAATTGATTTTCTTGTTATTCTTTTTTTCCCTCTCCCTTCCTTTCTACCTGACTATCATTGAGGTCAACTGGAATACTTCTCAAGTCAAGTGCAGCAGCATTCTGTCAGGAAACCACTTCTGCTTGTTCTAGTGGACGAACAGCTTGGATACTGCAATGGCCACCATTTTCAAAGTCATACAGTTTGTCTCACAGACCCTAGCATTGGGTCACCTGGTAGGTTTTTCTGTCGATGATCTATGTGCCATTGAAAGCAGTTGTTAATGTCTTTGCACACTTATTATTGTACTTATTATAATTCTTTTTTTCCCTTCCAAGCATCATCTTAATGTCTGACAGGCTCCCATTGTTGGAAACAATGGTTTTGGATGATCTACCTAACTTAAAAGATACATATGCCTCCTTGTACTCCTCAGCTATGGAAGACTTAGAGGTGGATTTTGATTCAGGACTGGAGGAAGATGAACTGAAACAGGAGGCTGCTCCTGAGGATTCCACGATCTTTGTAGCTTTTAAAGGAAATATAGGTGACAGAGACTTTGAGCAGAAGCTAGATACCATATTGGAGAATGTGCCTGGCCTTTTACACATGGGTAATGTACCTTCTTGTAATTTTTCAACTGTCCTTAAAATATTTATTTATGTAGTCAGGGTGCTTATAGAAAGAAATAGATTATATTGTTTTGGAGTTACTTAGTTTGTAATAAGATTTGTTGGGGTTATTCTTAGTGAATTTGGGAGCTGTTCTTCTCAGAGAGATAGAGTACAAGTTTCTGCAGTTGTTTTATTGTTTAAAACTGATTTCATTAGTGAGTTCATTTATTCCTGTTCAGTTCCCATGTTTTACTTGGGTTTTTTCTCTTTAATTTCCCACCGTTACACATTGCTGTGTTATGTGAAAGTTAAACCAGGCTTGTCCACACAGATGTTTTTTACTACCAAAACCATCCAGTTTAAACCACTGCAGTTCATCTGAGAATGGGTTCACTCTCAAGTAACTGTCAGTTCGAGATGTTACTGCCCCTTTGCTGCTACATTGACCTATGCTACCTGATTTTTTTATTTTTTTTTCTAATGGAGGACATGGAGTGCTCTGACGTACCCCTGTATGCCCACTGAGGTCTGGGGACAGCTATGTAGCTAGTGAGTGATAATAGGCTTTTGGGACAATAACATCTTTTACCAGCACATCTAGATCTTGAAAAAGACATCTGCCCACTGTCTGAGCGTCTTTGTAAATGGTCTTATGATGACTACTTATAGCTGGTCAGTTATGTAGTCTTGCTTGTACAAGTACAATCTTTCTTGATAGACAGCCCTCCCTTGGTAAGGGTGCAGTGTTGTGATGGTTTGGGTCAGTGTGCTTGTATCAGTGACATGCTCCCTCCGCACCGCCAGTTTCCCCAGCAGTGCCCCTCATCTGAGATTACTTGAATGGTCAGGTTAATGGCTTAATTTCTTGCCATTAGTGTAGTTTGCTATAGAAACAGTTAAAGCTGGGTGGGTTGCCTGAAGTGGGGTGGCAGGAACACATACCCGGAAGAGCCTTGGCAACTGGAACCACAGCAGTGCTGACCTGACTTGGCATGATGTCATATAACTGCAGTCTAAAAGCCACGTAATTGCCCGTACACTCTCCCTCTTTCTGCTGATGGTCATCCAAGCTTTTCATGATAACTATAGATTGCCATCCCAGCATGCTGCTCTTCTGTTGCATGGTCTTTTGAAATCACACCATACGATGAAGACTCCACCTTTCTTCTTCAGGCAGGCAGCCTTTGTGTTTAAACAAAGCTAATTTTCTAGATTAGGTTTTAAAATGTTCATTGCATTGCTCGTATTTTCAATAATGTAAAATACCTTTGACTTCTGAATAACCTATGTTATTCATATAACCTATGACTTCTGAATAACCAAACAGAATTTGTCACTTTGTTCTTTTCTTTCCTTTCCATTTTGTCCAGTTGTAGTCACTTGGGTCTGGCATCAGTTGTTGGGGTCCTTGCTGTTACCTGTCGGGGAGATAAAAAAGTTGGGATAAGACAAAAATGCTATGAAGAAATACGACTGTTTTGAGCTGTATCTTATAAACAGTTGGAAGTAGACATAAAACTAACAGATAGTTACTGGTGTAAAAGGGTATGTGTTAATACCATAGATGAATTGTGTAGTTTTTCAATGGAAATAAATCCAATCTGTAGCTGTATGGAGTTGCCTTTGTTATACAGAGGCATCTGCATGCTGGTTTGTTATAAATATTAATGGCAGGATTAATAAACATGATTGAGACCTCAGCTGAGAAAGCAGAAGGCAAATTTTTAAAATCAGTGTCAAATTAATTTGAAAATTATCCATGTGACAAGTAATTTAAACTGATGCAGAGCAAAATAGGAAATTCAGAATGTTGAGTTAGTAAATAACATTGGTTTAGACTTGGCAGATGCAATATTTGAAAAACAAGACACTCAGGTACTAATATCTAGAAATACTGAAACTGATAATGCAATTTTTATATGTAAAATAGTGGAACATTAATAACAGTAATATAGGACTGTTCAAACTTCCACAAAAAGTGGTTTTAAAACTACTCCTGTCGTGTTTCCAGCCAAAAATGTGTTTATAAGTAGGAAGAGGATGAATTTAATACCATTACTGTAGCAGCAGGAGGGACTTGGTGAATTAGTTAAGGACAAGAGATTCCTAAATATGAGTGAGTTATTGGCATTCTTAAATTACATGTTCTTCAGAATCAAAAAGTTAGCAAACTTTTAGTAAATCTGATGTTACAGTGGAGGAACTAGCTGATTAAAATTTGGGCCAATGTTTACGGGTTTCAAAGGGACTTCCTGTTCAGAAAGCTAAAAACTTGAAGCTTAGAAACCTGTGTTAGGAATATACTTTTAATTATCTGTAAATGCATTTTTGTGGCAATAATTTAGGTACCACTCCAGATAAATATATCCAAGATAGCCCTACCTTTTTGCTAATTTCCACCTGTTACTTTTAAAACAATTGACCTATGTAGAAACACTCGTATGTAGAATAGGTTTTCAGAAAACCTGCAGCGTAATATTTTGCATGACTTTAATATGTTTTTTTTTGCAGTGGATTGAACATACCTATTCAGAAAAACTAAATAATATGGTAGAAATTAATTAATACTGCTAGGACTCTGTTAGCACTGGTGTTCTAAAAAGATGGTTTCACAAGCATTTGTAGAGCAAATATTTGAAGAATTAGGGTTTTGTTCTTGTAGTCAGTTTTTTCACACATCCATCTGGTTCACTAACAGATTTACTAAATCTGTTTAATTAGATATTTTTATATCTTTCCAAAGTAGTTTATCCACAGAATATTTCAAGTTTTGTCAAGTGATTGCGTTGCCTATTGCATTGGTTATCAATTGGGTAGTTTTTATGTTGCCAATTTTTGGGACATACATGAAGTGGTTTGGCAGAATCAGTCACTGTATGCCTTTGCTGGAGAAATCTCCTGTATCTGAGACTAACCACTTGATAATTTTCAAAGCCAAATAATTGTTTAATTTTTTTCAGCTGTGCTTTTTTGCCAAGTTATTTCATGATACATGTTTGAAAACTGCTTTTGCACTGACTCTGACCATTTTTTGTTTAAGAATCCAACAAGTTAAAACTGCAGAAGATAGAGCCTTGGAACAGTGTCCGCGTTACCTTCAATATACCCCGTGAAGCTGCTGAGCGGCTGCGAATTCTGGCTCAGAATAATAACCAACAGCTTCGTGACCTGGGAATTCTCTCAGTTCAAATTGAAGGTATTTCACACCTAATTCGCTTCCAAAGGCATTAAGCTAAAATATAAGTGTACTCAACATGCAACTTCGTGTACTGGGTTAATGTTGCAAAACTTCTAATTTAGTAGTTTGGAGAATGACTTCAGTGAAAAGGTGGCTCAAGACTTTTATTCTTTCAATAATAGGTTTAATAGTAAAAATGATAGCTGAAAATCCTCTGAGCATCAGGAAACCTCCTGAAAAATGTTTTTTGAGTGTTAGCTAGCAAAATGTGCCCCAATTTTTTTTTTCTCCTCATTCTTTCATATGAGGCTTTCTTAAGAACAAGTTTCAGTGGATTTCACAATTAAAATACCTATTCTGGACAGTTTTCCAAGAGCACACTCAGGATGAAAACAAGGGCATTTAATGCTTGTCATGGTGTTTGTTTTTCTGAAAATTGAAATCCAGAAGATAAGGGTAGTACGATGCATAACTATCCTTCTGAAGTGCACATTATAGGTAAAGTTTGTTCTTCCTTCCTTGACGTCTTTTAAATGTTCTTTTGAAAATGTCTGTATTCTGCTTTGCTGTATATCGTTCAGTTCACCCAAACTGTGCATTACTTTTAGGGGAAGGTGCTATCAATTTAGCTTTAGCTCAAAACAGAAGCCAAGATGTCCGAATCAATGGGCCCCTGGGAGCAAGCAACTCAGTGCGAATGGAAACGGGGTTTCCCATGCAAGGAGGACAAGGTAAATTCCTTTGGTTTTTATTTGTTTAGCTTTTTACACTTTGAACTTTGTTACTAAGCTAAGTGTAAAATTTCACTGATTATAGCAACTATTGTTTGCAGAATTATTATTGCCATTTTAATTGATGTGTGTTCTTGTTTCTGTACTGTCAAACCATGTCCCACATTATGTAAACTAAATAGTTGGCTGCTTTTTGTCCTACAAACATTGGAGTGATTTGGGTGGGGCAGATTGGTTTGGTTTGGGGGTTTTTGAGGGTTTGGTGGTTTGGGTTTTGGCAGTTTGTTGTTTTGTGGGTTTTTTGAAATAAAGACTGTTAATGCAGATGAGTCTAGTATAGTGAATTCACTTAGAAATGTCCACAAATTATCACAGTTTTCTGTTTAGCTACCTTTATGAAAATGAGCATAAGCCTTTATTCAGTGTACAATAATAAACTATGTTAGATTAAATCTATTATAATTATGGGAAGGAGGACACTGTCTTTGTTAGTTTCTGGTTTTATTTTCTGATAAACTTTTGAGATCTGATCAGAGAGAATTAATTTTCGTGGACATAATAAGTAACTTCTAACTACAAAAGTCAGATTTTATGAAGAGTTAAAAGAAAGCTACTATGTAATGTATTTTAATATCTTAGTAAATAGGATTTAAAGCAATTAAAAAAAATGGGAGCTTTTTTTGTCAGAGTTAATGTAAGATGATGAGAAGGAATGGAAAGAACATTTCACCTCTGTAGAAACCTGATTAAACACTAGTTTAATCACTGTGCGTAACAAGGAATGTAAAACATTTAAGGAAGGTTTTACTTTGAAAGTGGCTGCTCTGATCTTCACTGTGACAATCATGAGCTTCATTTCCTACCTGCAGGTCAACAATATAAATGTAAACAGTATAAACACAACAACAGTATAACCAACAGGTCAACAATATAAACCATTTTGTAAAATAGCAGTCTGTTGAAGTGAAACATTGAAATTTTTCTCTCTTATACCACCTCAGTTACTTTCTAGTATCAGCTTTTGCAAAAAACACAGTACATGTATAACTGATAAAATCTTGTCACTTGGTGACTTTAGTGGCAAGTCAGGCTCAAATAATTAATAAGTCAGTAATGTCTCCTTCTGTAACCTTTTTAAAGGTTTGGAGCTAAAGGAAAAGCTTCAGCATGACCTTAACTTGTTTGTTTTATACCAGGGAATCTAAGCCTTCAGACAGAAATGGGTCCTCAGGTTATTTCAGACAAACAGTTCTTAAAGTTTAAAGAAATGTTTTATTAACAAATAGAGTTTTTTTCTTGTAAAAAAAATAAATCTAAAATTCTTCTTTATGTAAAAACTACAAGACTTGATAATTTTTATTTTTATTTTTTAAGGTTTAATAAGAATGAGCAATGCTGCAGCTGTCATGATGTCCCAGAGTGGAAATGTGCCTTCCTCTATGGTGGCAAGTGGTGCTAGTGCTGAGCTGCAGCCAAGAACACCCCGGCCTTCCTCACAGCCAGGTGGTAAAATTTAGTCACAGTACTGATGTGAAAATGTTCTTGAATTCTTATTCTTCAGCACACAGGCTTGAGCGTGCACTCATAAGAGTACTCCAGAATTGTCCTGGAGTATTTCCCCTGCCCTTTCTGGGAGTTACTCTTTCTGAGGAACCCTCCCTGCCCCCATTAATCTGGTAAAACTTTTCAAATAATTTGGGTGTCTAATAAGTCACCAGGTTGCTTAGTATTTTGTTCAAATGCGTTGAGCAGCAGCAGTGGTATTTTTGCAGTAGAACTGTTGCGACTGAGCTTTATGTTTAGATAAAGGTGAGAGAAGGATTGATTGAATGAGGCAGATGTCTCCAGTAGGAAGCAAATGCACCAGACTGAGCACAACTGCTTTTCAGGAGGGGTAGGTAGACTGGAAGTTTAAGGATTGGGGATCTGGGGGTGTGTGAATGTTTAGAGTTTATTCTTCGCAATTCTGCCAGTGCAAGTTACTTGCATTTTGGGACTACTGAAAAAGAGAGGGGGTTATTCCTTGTTGCTGCATAAAATGATGGCAGTGCTTGCCAACTTCTGTAGATCTGTGCAGTATTTATTCTTACAGACAGCATTTTTCAGAAATGTTTTAAATACTCCAGGAATATTAGTTTATGATACTATCTGAATTTCTTGTTATGCCACTTTTTTTAACTGGTGGGGATAATAGCCCCAACAAGTGGGTTATACATACAAGCTGGGGGACGAGAGGCTGGAGAGCAGCCCCGCGGAAAGAGATCGGGGGGTTTGGGTTGATGGCAAATTGAACGGGAGTCAGCGGTGTGCCCTAGCAGCCAAAAGGGCCAGCTGTGTCCTAGGGTGCATCAGGCACAGCATCGCTAGTCAGTCGAGGGGGGTGATTGTCCCACTCTACACCGCACTGGTGTACTGGGTGCAGTTTTGGGTGCCTCAATACACAAAAGACATCAGACTGCTAGAGTGTGTCCGGAGGAGGGAGACCAAGATGGTGCAAGGTCTCGAGGGCAAGACTTACGAGGAGCGGCTGAGGTCACTTGGCTTGTTCAGCTTGGAGAAGAGAAGGCTGAGGGGTGCCCTCATCGCAGTCTACAACTTCCTCAAGGGGGGCAGCGGAGGGGGGGTGCTGATCTCCTCTCTCTGGTGACCAGCGATAGGACACAAGGAAATGGAATGAAGCTGTGTCAGGGGAAGTTTAGATTGGACATTAGGAAAAGGTTCTTCACTGAGAGGGTAGTCGGTTCCTGGAACAGGCTCCCCAGGGAAGTGGTCACGGCACCAAGCCTGTCAGAGTTCAGGGGGCGTCTGGACGACGCTCTCAGTCATATGGTTTAGTTTTAGTCCTGTGAGAAGCAGGGAGTTGGACTCGATGGTCCTTACAGGTCCCCTCCAACTCGAGATGCTCTGTGATTCTACTATTCTAAGCATGTAGAAGGCTTACATTAGTCTGTAGCAACAAGTGTTGCGTAGCTATTGTGCTTTATTGTAGAGGTTATAAATTGATAAGACCTGGCTTCTCAGGATTCCCAAACATTTTGAAAACTTTCAGAGCATTGCCTGTTCTGTCTGTTGGAGAAATTGGAACACTGGAGCGTGAATTTTTATGCAGAGTAAGCAAATGCAAGCAAGCAATTTACCCTTTCTTGTTTTGGGGTGGGTTTTGTCTACAGTAGGTTATTTTTTTTACTTTTCTTTGCTATTTTAATAGATGCAATGGACCCACTCTTATCTGGGCTAAATATCCAGCAGCAAAATCATCCATCTGGATCTTTAGCTCCCCAGCTCCATTCAATGCAGTCAGTTCCTGTAAACAGGCAGATGAACTCAGCCAACTTTCAGCAGCTACAGCAGCAGACGCAGTTGCAGACACGTCCTCCCCAGCCACATCAGCAGCCACAGCAGGGTATTCGACCTTCATTTACTTCACCAGCACAGGTTCCAGTTCCCCCTGGCTGGAACCAGCTTCCTTCAGGAGCACTTCAGCCTCCTCCAACCCAGGGAGCATTGGGTACATTGACAGTAAACCAGGGTTGGAAAAAGGCCCCATTGCCTGGACAAATGCAGCAGCAACTTCAAGCAAGACCATCTCTAGCAACAGTACAAACTCCTACTCATCCTCCACCTCCATATCCTTTTGGAAGCCAGCAAGCGTCCCAGGCTCACTCAAACTTTCCCCAAATGAGCAATCCTGGCCAGTTTACTGCTCCTCAAATGAAAAGCCTTCAGGGAGGGCCCTCACGGGTTCCTACGCCACTACAACAACCCCACCTGACCAACAAGTCTCCTGCTTCCTCTCCCTCCTCCTTCCAGCAGGGATCTCCTGCATCATCTCCAACAGTTAACCAGACGCAGCAGCAGATGGGACCAAGGCCTCCCCAGGGTAGCACAGTTCCCCAGGGATTTCAGCAGCCTGTCAGTTCTCCTAGTCGTAATCCTATGGTGCAACAGGGGAACGTACCCCCCAACTTCATGGTGATGCAGCAGCAAAACCAAGGTCCACAAGGTTTACACCCTGGTTTAGGAGGTAAGAAGTACTGAGACCTTCTTTTATTTTAAAAAGAAAAGAAATATAAAATGGCTAGTACTAATGTTGCTGTTAGTTTTGAAAAGATCCTTTAAAAGACAGAATAAAGGCATAGATTGAGTATAAAGTGGGCATGGGTGAAATTAGCATCAGCATCACTTCATTTCTACTACCTATCTCTGTCCTGCAGCATCACAGTGATAACCTAATGGTAGACTCTGGGCCACTGCAGAAATTGCTGTATGCGATTGCTGGTTATGACTGCCAGTCATCCTCTTGACAATTCTTCTGTTGCCTTTAAGCAAGTTCAGGATACTCAGAGATGGTGTGGGGTTTTTTTTTTTGGTTTGGGGTTGGTCTTTGGGAAGGGGATTTTTTTTGAGAAAGAGAGAGTGAGTGTAATAAGAACAAATGAACATTTTATTTCTCTGTTCAGCTTCCTCTGTCACTGTTTACATTTTCTACTACAGAAACGAGGCATTATTTTGCATCTTCCTTTCTAAGTTTTGGATGTCTCTTCTTGAGCCTGTCTTTATTTGTCATCAGTTTCTTCCCATATAAAAGAGGAAAGAGCTATTATTGCCGTACTGTTGTACTCCCTATTCTAAAATTAAGAGATCAAGGGGTGTTTTAATTTCCCCTTTGGCTGTGTTGTCTTTTAGTTTTCTCCTTGGACCTCCACACTCACATCTTTTACTTACTACTCCTAGAATTCTTCTCTAACAGTGAATGAATTTCATTTGTCAATCTCAGGATCTCTTTTGTGTCCTTGGTGGTTTTTTCCTCTTTTGTAGTTCTGTGCCAGACTTGTAGCACTTCTCTCTGCTCACTCATTTGTTCATCTTTCTCTGGAATGGCTGCTCTCAGATACCCATACACAAGGTCTTGCTTAAGCTTTCGAAATATTTTCTTTCTGTACTTACAAAGTATGAGCCATATTCTTTGTCCACCTACACACAGAGATATATAGATATATAGATATATATTTTCTGGTTTCTTGCATTCTCACATTGTGTGTCTGAAATCTGTCCAAAAAGCTGTAAGGAATACCCGTTTCTTGGTCTGCTGATCTGGACAAGCTTTTTGTTTTCACTCTTTGTACCATGGGCCTCATTTGAATTCAGATGAATTTTCTCAGTTTCAAGGTTCTCCTCTTCCAGACTGTTCTTAGGCTCTGCCAGTGCCCTGTACTTGGTATAGCTTATCTTGTCTCCATATGGAAGCCATTATATTTATTATTTATTATAGTCACATTTCCCTACAGTTTTGCCTCACTAGCCATATGTCCCTATCGGGAATCATTTCCTCTAGGTAGCATAGCCATGACCTCTAGATAGTACAGCCTGTGTATTCTCCTTCCTTTCTAAGTAAACCTACTACAAACAAAACCCTACTTTTTTTGAGTTAAAAATGACCCCCCAAATAAACTATCAAAATACATTATTTGGACTCACTGTAGACCTTATTGCTAAAATCGGTAATCCTGCTGTGAGCTACATCCCCAGCTGATTTAAAAAGACAGGATTCCATTGGTTTCAGTAAAGCTGTGTTGCTTCCACTTGCTGAGATTTTTGCCTGGCTTCTGTGCATGCTTATTCCTCACTGCAACAAATATGTTAATTAAATTGTAATTATGGATCTTTCAATTTTTGAGCCATCTTGCATTTAAAGGTTTGGTGTAAATGAATACATTCAAATGCTTTCCATTTTGCCTAGTTAATTTAGCAAATCAGAATTTATATTAGATTTGGAATAGGCCAAGTTAACACTTCTTTTTTTCTCAGTTCAAGTGTGCAAAACTTTCCTGAATGTTTAGCAGAACTAAAACTAGAGTCCAGTGATGTGATGTTTCAAGAAGTATATGTTCCATATTTGCAGATGTGTTTTGTTGTTTGACCTGTAAACTTGATTATCTTGAAATATTAATTACAAACATAAGACCAGATTAATTAACACAAGCAATACAATTAAGTGTGCAAGAAAGCTATAACTGTAGAAGGAACCAAAGTCAAATTCTGGCTGTATATTGTGGGTCAGAAACATAAGGGAGGACAGGGTTGCTTCTAGGTCTGTGGCATCGTCTATTTGACAGCGAGTTAAAAAGAAGTGGGTTCTGTTAAATCCATTTATGCTGCTGCTGCTCACATTGGTAGACAGAGGGAAGGTTTTGCGCTTTGTCCCAGGGCAGCAGTGATGTTTTGATACATCAAAGGGTGGGTGTTGTGCCAGATAGGGGCCTGATAGAATTACTTGCTCTTGCAGTAAGAATAGCAGGGTTACTTGAATGAGCAGCTGTTGTGGAGGTTTTTGAGTGTCCGTACACACAGCAGCAGTGCCAAGGAGTGTGTACCTGGTGTGTTATGGTGAGAGTTGTTGAGAGGAGCGCGTCACGGTAACAAATGCAAGTTACTTGTGTTTGCGTACATGGAGTAAGTTGAGGGCCTGATTAGAGTTGAGATGCAGTAGAGGAGAAAACAGCGAACTATGTTACTTCAATTTCTAGTTTCTAAGAAGTCAAACATGGACTTTTTGCCTTCTCTGTGGGGTAAGTTTTGTATTTAAATTACAGTTTGAACTGAGTCATAGTAGTTTGTTAGGCAGAATTATTGCACACATAAGAACTATAAATGTCTTCAGTGGGTTTTGTGTATTGGCAAAAAACACTTTCTGCCTAAACCTGTAATGTAACAGTACAGACTCAAAGGTATCCTTCCTATCACAGTCCAGTTGTAGATTTTTTTCTCTTTTTTTTTTAAGTCCTGTTTTCCGTACTTACTAATAAGAAAATCCTTGTGTTCAGGAATACCCAAGCGCCTCCCCCCAGGGTTCCCTGCAGGCCAGGCTAACCAGAACTTCATGCAAGGTCAGGTGCCTTCCACAGCTCCAGGAACACCAGTGAACAGTGGAGCGCCGCAGCTGCAAACTAGCCAAAACGTGCAGCACACAGGTCTGTTTGGGATGTGGTGTTCCTCAGTTTTTTCTTTTTTGTAGAAAATTACGCCCTTACTTGTGTAATACAGATACCAAAACATTAAACTCTTGTCATTAATAGGGAGTTAACTAGCTGGGGCTGCAGGGGCATTCTGTGTGTATTGCTAAATGAAGAAAAGACAAGCAGGAGGCTGCTCATGGCTTTTCAAACAACCCAGCTATTACTGACTAGGACTCTGGTGCTAGGATCCAGAAGTATCTGTTAAGAAGTGGAATGGAAGTGGCACTGAAATTTGGAGCCTAGGGGTAATGGTACAATACAAAAGGAACTTCTTTCCAGAAAAAAAAAAAAATTGTGTTATTATCTTAGAAGCACAACAACAAAATAATCTTGTTCTGCTTTGAAAAGATAATTTATTAGTTCCTTTGAAAGCTTTGGAAGTCTGCTTATCGTCAGACCTGTAAAAATTAAATCTTTAGTTCATAAATGTCTCCATTTAACAATTCTATTATTAGTCTTTTATCTGGATTATGGGTACCCTGATAATGTCATTTCATCAGTACTCTGTGTGTATTTATTTTTTAACCCGTTATAAAATAACCTCAAGGTTTGAAGCTTATTTTGGTTAGGAATTACTCTGTTGAGTTAGGTGATATTATGGAAGATTTTCAAACTTACATACAGGTAACAACTGAAATTAAATTTTTTATGTCTTCTGCAGTGGGGTACATGGGAAATACCAGTCTAAGTGTTTATTTTGAGAAGTATGATGTTCTCTTTTGACAACTGACATGTATCTGTAGCATCAAACACTGCATCACAGGACTGCAAATGTGTCAGATATTCCAGTTCATTTGAAAAGGGAGGAAAAAAATTTTGGAGTACTTACTCAACATCGAAAGTTGTGAAAACTCTTATACCATTCCAATCAGTTTCTTACTGGCAATTTTTTTTTTTTTTTAAGGTGGCCAAGGATCTGGACCTCCTCAAAATCAGATGCAAGCACCACATGGCCCACCAAATATGGTGCAGACCAATCTAATGGGACTTCATGGAAATATGAACAACCAGCAGGCTGGTGCTAGTGGGGTGCCGCAAGTTAACATGGGCAACATACAGGGACAGCCTCAGCAAGGACCACAGTCTCAGCTTATGGGAATGCATCAGCAAATTGTATCCTCTCAAGGACAGATGGTAAACATTCAGGCTCAGGGATCGCTGAATCCTCAAAACCAGATGATACTTTCTCGAACTCAGCTCATGCCACAAGGCCAAATGATGGTGACACCACAAAACCAAAATCTTGGTCCTTCTCCTCAAAGGATGACCCCACCCAAACAGATGATTCCCCAGCAGGGACAACAGATGATGTCTACACACAATCAGATGATGGGACCTCAGGGCCAGGTCTTGTTGCAGCAAAACTCAATGATGGAGCAGATGATGACCACTCAGATGCAAGGAAATAAACAGCCTTTTAGTACTCAAAACCAGTCCAATGTTATGACGGGGCCAGCTCAACTGATGAGAGGACCAACCCCAAACATGCAAGGAAACATGGTGCAGTTCACTGGGCAGATGATGGCACAGCAAGGCCCTGTGAATGGTAATCCTTCTCAGGTTATGGGAATTCAAGGGCAAGTTTTAAGACCCACTGGACCTGGTCCTCACATATCTCAGCAACTTGGGGATACTACTACTACAACAAATAATGATGTGAACTTGACACAGATGTTACCGGATGTTCCTGTGCAGCAGCCAAACATGGTGCCTTCTCACATGCAAGCAATGCAAGGAAACAACAATGCTTCAGGGAGTCATTTCTCTGGCCATGGGCTGCCTTTCAATACAGGGTTTAGTGGAACGCCAAATGGGAATCAGATTTCCTGTGGGCAGAATCCTGTTTTTCCTGTCAATAAAGATGTTACACTCACAAGTCCGCTCTTGGTTAACCTTCTACAAAGCGATATATCAGCAGGGCACTTTGGTGTGAACAACAAACAAAATAATCAGAATGCCAACAAGCCGAAGAAGAAGAAGCCTCCAAGGAAGAAGAAAAATAATCAACAACTAGAACAAACAACGTAGGTTTAATATTACATTGTTTTTATAAGGGGCATGGGGAGGCTCCACAGGCAACTTGTCAATATTTTTTCAGCAAGTATGGGGTGAGAAAGGACCTGTATTATTTCATATTCTAGCAGTTTCTCTCAAGAGTTAAATGATAACCCATTGGCAACTCTGCCACTGGAAAGTTCATTCAAGATTAAAAAAAACCCATGCAAACATCCCAGATCAATTATAAACCCAATTTTAATGGCACTGTTCCTTATGTTTACTGGGTAAAGGAAGTGTAGAATGTGGCACATGGTGCCACAGCCCTTGGAAGAGGAGGCTGCCTTTTTTAAGCAGCCTGACAGCCACGATCAAAGGCTGGGAAGTACTTTCAGAAGAATTAGAAGCCTCCATGTCACATGTACAGTAGAGATTTTTGGGGGGGTTGTTTCCTGAATTATATGTATATCTGGATGTGTTTCTGCCTGGAATTGAGCTGGACTTCTCTCTTAGTTGAAGCTGCAACTAGAATTTAGGGGGAGGAATCTGGTACTTCCTGGGTATGAGGATAACAGGCCCAAGCAGTGGTGGTCTTCCTGGCCTAGGAGAGATTAGGATGGAAAAAAAACCCACAACTCCTGAGAGGGAAGAGGCAAATGGGTAATATTGAGAGATGAATGAATGTACCTGTTGAGTGGAAATATGAGATTGCTGAATCCTTTCATTCCTCTTTGGCCAGCGTATTCTTCGTTGACCAGCTGTCCTATAACCTTTTGCTGTTGACAGTCTACTAATACCAGCACAGGGTGGTAGACTAGTGCTGCTGTACCATTATTTAGCTAAAATGGTAAAGGCAGATATGCTATATCTAATTATTCTGATGCTGCAGATGAGCCACAGGGGCATTGACAGAAATCCATCTGATGGAACATCTGGGGATTGTTTCCAGTTTGCTTTAGAAAAAATGGAAAAACTCTGCACAGAAAATTATAACCCAAGAATATCGAAATTCCAAAGTTAAATTCTTAAACAAACAAAAAGGTAGCAAAGGCACATTAAGCTACTAGTGTGGCTCTGGTTCCACCAGTCCCAATCCTTTGAATAATCATTGCAAGTCTTTAACCTGAAGTTTATGCCACCTTTTCCAGGGACAGATGTCCAGTTCAGTGCAAAGAGTGGATGGCATTCAAGTACTAAGCAACTGTTCGATATTTTATTTTTTCCCTTGGTTATTCAGTGCGTAGCCACAACCTGCATTTTATGCACAATGTCAAGATTCCTTCATGAAAATGGAATTAATTTTCTCATGGACATTTTAGTTCTGGACTGAAACAACTCGCATTATCTATAGCAAGTGATCTTCTGTGACAATTGTTAATTGGTTTAACTAGTACTAAAATAAAATGCAGGAGCTGTTACGTGCATTTTACAGATGCAGAAATGCTGCATAGCAAAGATAATGCAAAAATGCTAATATAATAGGCCTTGAAAAAAGTCTTTCAAATACCTGCTATATAATTATATATGGTCCTGGTATGGCTTATCAGCTCAACACTGCTGCAGAACAGGCCATGTGATTTCAGATTAAATCTGAAGGAGTGAACAGTCTATGGCCAGCTGTGAAAACCTGGTTAAAGTAACTCACCTAGAACCAAGTGGCCAATGTGTGATTAGACTGCAATGTTGGGGTGATTTGGAAACTGAGATACCAGCTTGTCTCTTGCAGTGCCTGACTTGTTAAACCTCATCAGCTTCTGCAATGTGTAGAACAGGGATCATTCATGCCCAGGTGGGCAGCTACGGACAGCCACGATCCGTGCAGCTGCAGTGCTGCCACAAGGAGCAGGGCAGGCCTGTAGGGAAGGCCATAGGTGTTGATGTGCTGAGCTTTCTAGTTTTGATAGTCTTTGGCTCTGTGGAAGGGAGATACATGAGGGCATATAGGTGTCTTAATTTTGCCATTCCAGAAATCTTAAATGCAAGTAATTTGGCAGGAGCAGTTTGTAACGGTATATTGCACAAGGTAGTGTTGTGTGGTCCAGTTGTAAAGAATAGTAGTAGCATAATGGTAGAATGTGCATCTTCTTGCTTTTGATACATTAGATCCTGCAGAGAGTCTCAAATAAATAACAAGCAGATACTTTCCTGTTTGTTGTTCACCTGACATTTAAAGCTATCCAGATGTCTTTCAAACAATAACAATGTCTTATTTTTCTTTGTATCAAAAACATTCATGTTGCATAGCTGCTACCCAACAGCAATTTGTATAGTACCAGAAGGCACTGCTGATAATTTGCAGTGAAGTAAAATACGCAAACCTTGTATCACTATTAGTCATCTGCATCTTTCATGGAAAGTGGGGGTTTTTTGCCCCAAACCAAAGACAAAAATGGCCTTGTATTTCTAGGTAGGAAAGATCTGGTGCTATGTGAAGGAAAAAAAAAAAAAAAAAAGCTTCAATTTTAAATAGGTTCCAATAAAATAATAGTAACTACTACCGTAGTGAGCTGTCTTGCCATGGAAATGACAGAGGATTCAGAGGGAGCACTCTCTTCTGAAAAGAAAAGCCTTGTTAGGATTTTGTTTTCATTGGTCTTACTGATGATCACCCAGCTTCAGTGTGGCCTGGGAATATCAAGAAACAGATATATAAAGCTCTCCTCTGAGCTTACAAAGCCCCACAAGACTATTTGTTCATTAAAAAGTTTTCACAACAAAAGAAGCCTAAATTACAGCTTGTCTATTGAGCTATGACAACTCAAAAAGAATTCCTAACTCTTAAACCAGGCTTTTAATCAGATATTGGCGTACTTAACAAAGGAAATACCACTTTGTACTTATTCTATCACTTAAATTTTCAGTGAACATTCTCTTGCGATTGCTACCTGCAGAATGCTGTTTTGGCACCTGATATGGATTAGCATTTTGTTTCTTAATGGGCTGTATATTAATCACTTTATTCTTGTAGGAGCATTAAGAAGGGAGCTATCCTTAAAAATATTTTTTGAGGTTATACTCCAGCAAAAGGAGGGTGACTGCTATGAGAACTGGCTGCAATACCTTCCTGCCTCATTTGCTCTTGGCTTCCCTAGCATTGTTAGGCAAGCTCAGCATTTTCCTCTCTTGGAACAGCTGATTCTTTTAAATTTGATTTGGATCACTTTCTTCTGCGTCAGAAGCAAACAGGATGCTTTTCACTTCGGCTTCTTCTCTGTCATTCTTCCTTAGAAATTTTAGAATTCAGAGCAGCAAACCTTATGTAGAAATGCAGCTAATTTGATAAACATGCTCAAAATGATTCGGTTTTTTTTCTTAGAAATAATTTCTGAGATGTAATAATATAATAACAAAAGTACCTTTAGCAAATATGGTTTGTAGACTGAGCCATATTGGAATGTATGTAGGATAAGTGAGCTATTGAAAGAGTTTATTCATCTGAGTCTAAAATAGTTTTAAGGGTTTGCTTAATTGAGGAACTTGTCTTGGTTTTCATTCCAATGCTATTTTGGAAAAGTAGGTTGTTTAAAAGTGCGTCTGTTTTCTGAACTTGAAGACTATAGGTAAGGGGGTGTAAACTGAGAAAAAGATGCTAGAGGAAATGTGATTGTAGATAAAACATGTTAGTTAATTCTATTAAATACATGCACAAACAAACAGTTGTTTAATGTTCCCCTGTGCACAGACCGTAAACATCATGTACAGCTAGAACAGAAATAATACACTTGGTGAAATCACTGCTGGCATTCAGATTTGCAGTATCCAGTGTGAAGTGTGATGTGCAGCTGGTGAACAGCACTGCAGGACAAAGAAATTTTTCTCAACCAGATTTAGAGAGCTTTTAACTCCAGGTCTGGAGGTGACAGTCCCCCTGTACACATGGGAAATGAAACTCATTTAGCATCAGAGGACGAGTGCCTTTCTATAAAAGCAGCAGTTGTTGCAGAGCATTGTACTGTGTCGGCAGGGCTGGTTCTGCTTGCATCTGTACTGTAATTTTATTTTTGCACACCTTATTTCAGCATCTGCAGTCCTTTTTGGTTTGGGGGGGTGGAGAGGGGGTGTTTTGGTTATTTTTTGTCTTCTGGAGTTCTGTCTCCAGTCTGACGAGGGATTTTTTATCTGAAGAATGTGCTTGAGAATGCCACTGGTGGAGCAAAGGGTTCACTTATGACTATCCATACTGTATGTAATGTGCAGTTGGTATTTTGGGGTTTGGTTTTTTTTTTTTACATCCAGAGAAAAAGGAAAGAAAAAAAAATACAGAATATTTGTCCCCCTCACACAACCTTCTCATCTTGCTTGTTATTCGTATTCAGAATTTGGGGGGTTTTGATGGGTGGTGGTTGCTAAATATGCCCAGTGAATTTCAGCTACCTTCAAAATTCAAGTTATGTTTAAGTTTTCCAGCGATTACCGTAGTAGTCTTTCCTATAATAACTGCTCTTCTTTGCTAGCAAACAAAACTCATGTCTGTTTTGCAAGGTTTGTACATTTTGCCCGATTAGACCCATCTGGCAGGAGATGTTTTCTAAGATCGATTTTGCACCATGATTGTTTTCTAGGTTAAACCTGTTTGCAGTGATGCTCTGCATTGGCTTTTATCTAATCTTTAACTGTAGCATTTTTAATCTCCCACCATTATTGAGAAATAATAAATGGCAAAATTACAAATTTAAGATTGTATTCACAATTTTAGGCAGTTATTCCAGTTATTTGCTGGCACCTACATCAAAGGCTGCAGCTCCTCTGGGTGATACTGCTGCCAGAATTTTTGTTCCTTTGTGGCTGCTAATACAATGCTTCTGGGGCACGTGTATGTATTTTGCCAATTTTCATCAAATTTATTGGTGGAGGCATGTAAGCCTACAACAACTGCATCACAAAAATTGGTGGTGTGCTGGATTAGACAAAAGGTATAACTCTAACTACTTTCTTTGGCAATACTTGTCCGCTCAGCAGCAGTGCTTGGAACGGTTCTGTTGTTTGCCCCATTTCTTACCTTTCTTCTCTCTTGGCTTATGTTCTCCCTAGTTTTGACCTGTGAAAGTTCAGGGACTTTTCAAGTCACACACTCCTTTTTGAACATTGGTTGGGTACTTAATAGCACATTAGGACAGGCCTGGGTCTCTCCATGTCAGCTGTACAGATGCCAGAAACTGTTACTCTCGAGTAAAATTAAATAAGGTAGATCTCTTCACCTTTACATACTTCAAATTCTTATTTTGCTGAAAATTTCTTTTGTCCTTGGCATTTCTGCTTTATTCTGTCTCTGTTTGTTGGCAGTGGGCTTATTTTGATGTCTTTAATTTTAACTCGGAGCTTTTACTATGTAGATCTCCCTACAGCCTCCATATATTCATGAAGCCGATAAGCAGTTAAGGTCTTTTACTCTTCATCCGTCTTTATCTTACATTCTCTGACCATATATATTGATAGCTACGGAAACTTGTTTTTTCGAAGTCTACAAAAGCTGTCTTGATTCAATGGAAGTATTAGGTGTTCAATCTGAACAATTTTAAATGGTCCTAGAGAGTCTCCTGGAGCATGAAGTACCCCTGGAGAAAGACTTGGGAGTACTGGTGGATGAAAAACTGAATATGAGCTGGCAGTGTGCACTTAACAGCCCAGAAAGCCAACTGTATCCCAGCCTGTATCAAATGAAGCATGGCCAGCAGGTCAAGGGAGGGGATTCTGCCCCTCTACTATGCTCTGGTGAGACCCCACCTGCAGTACTGCATCCAGCTCTGGGGTCCCCAGGATAAGAAAGACATGGACCTGCTTGAGCAGGTCCAGAGGAGGGCCATGAAGATGACCAGAGGGCTGGAGCACCTCCCGTATGAGGACAGGCTGACAGAGTTGGGGTTGTTCAGCCTGGAGAAGAGGAGGCTGTGGGGAGGCCTTACAGCAGCTTTCCAGTACCAAAAGGAGGCCTACAGGAAAGATGGGAAGGGAGTCTTTATCAGGGAATGTAGTGATAGGATTGAGGGGTAATGGTTTTTAACTGAAAGAGGGTAGATTTAGATTAGACATTAGGAAGAAATTCTTTACCATGAGGGTGTTGAGGCAGTGGACCAAGTTGCCCCGAGAGGTTGTGGATGCCCTATCCCTGGAATTGTTCAAGGCCAGGCTGGATGGGGCTTTGAGCAACCTGGTCTAGTGGAAGGTGTCCCTGCCCATGGCAGGTGAGTTGGAACTAGATGATCTTTAAGGTCCCTTCCAACCCAAACCGTGCTGTGATCACTTACAGAGCCTCAGGTATCCCACAGAGGTCTGTGCTCTGGCGGGTGACTTACAATGTCTGACACGTCAGTGTGGTTTTGCTGTGATGTTAACAGAGGTCTCTGATACCCTGAGCTAGTCACTTCTGGGTACAATACTGGAAGAAATGGTGCTACCATTAAAATAAATGCCTGTGCATCTACCTGTGATACTTACTAATCTATACAGATGTCACAGCAGTATTAGAGAGAAGCCTGTTTATTTTAAATATATTTATCTATATCATTTGGAATATCCATTGGCATTCTCTTGGTTATAAAACTCAGATTCAAGGTAGAAACAAAGGAAAGAAATGTTTAAGATCAATAGAGCACCAGGCAACTTGTCTTTTCGGTCGTATTTAAGGCACAGGAGTGACTGTCAGCAGACGTAGGCTCTGAGTTCACATTTGTCATGTTATGCCAGAGGTAGCGGTGCATTTTAGTGAGTTACTTGCTGGTCTGTGAAAAATGCTAGGAATTAATTACTTGAGTACTTAGTTATGGAAGCAGAAGTCAAACACTGATGTGAGGGCTGGATCTTAACTGCAATTATTTTTCTTTCAGTTCTTCAGAACCACGTCCAGCTGGCCTGGAGGAGAGTGATCAGTCATCGATGTCTGGAGAACAAGGAATGAATTTAGATAATTCAGGCCCTAAACTTTCAGATTTTGCAAGTAGGCCACCAGGTACTAGGATTTTTGTGTGTATTATCTGAATGTAATAACTATAGGAGAGCTTTTAACTGATCTTTGTGACAGTTCTATTTTATTTGTGTTATCACACATTCAAGTCCAAAGCTTTTTTTTCCTCCTAGTAACTAATTGGTACCATTGTTTAACTGTTTTCTTTGAATTAGCTCAAAATGAAGAGGTGGCCACATTCTCATGTATCATCCTGCAGATACCATAGTCAATACTGTAGAGTTATTCAGCAATAACATAATTGGTAAAAATTTCTGTATTTCTAGCCGTAGCACAGACTGATGCCTTAAAAAATTTAGCATTAACCAATGGCTGATTTTTTAGAGTTAAGAAATAGAGGTTGCAGTTGGAATTATCCTTTGCATGTAGGGAGGATTAAATCCAAAGTCCACAAAGGAATTTACATTATGAACCAGACAGGTGATTCTTAGCACCGTTTTTGGCCAGGTAATACATGACAGATTCTACTTTGTACACTAGAAAATGTCAGACCTGTAGCAGGTATGCTAGTCCATGTCCCACAGGGCCGGTCAAATTTTTAGTTTGTTTTAAGGAATGATAATTAGTGAAAGTCCAACTCTGCATTTGTAAGTGAAAGTAAGCCCATGGACAGCTGCAGAGACTTTTCAGGTGACATGAATCTGGAGCTAGTAGCTGGTATGATACACTAAGAGATCTCCAATTAAGTGTCATGCAAGTCATTCACACATTAAGTAAAAATATTTTTAAGAATTAAGTAAAATCTTTGTCCTTATTTGTAAAGCCTGTTTCATTAATGTGGCTCTTCCATAAGATAAACAGGTTCCTGGCTATACTTTCTATCTGTCTGATCCTGTTTGTTACAGGAATTTTGCTTTCTCTGATCCTTGTTTGGTTTTAATGAATGTATCATCTTGTCATCTTAGGTTATCCATCTCAGCCGGTGGAACAAAGACCACTTCAGCAGATGCCACCTCAACTCATGCCACATACACAGCAGCCACAGCAGCAGCAGCAGCCACAGCCACCACCACAGCAAGCCCAGGCACCACCACAAACACCACAGCAACAGCAGCAGATGATGATGATGCTTATGATGCAGCAGGATCCCAAATCAGTCAGGCTTCCTGTACCACAAGGAGTTCACCCACCTAGAGGGCCTCTGAATCCAGATGCTCAACGAATGCCAATGCAGCAAAGCAGTAACATGCCAGTAATGGTTAACCTCCAAGGTCCTGGATCAGTGCCTCCATCTCCTGATAAACAAAGAATTTCCTTGCCAGGCAATCCTCCTCTGGGAAATAATGCAAGAAAAATGGTTTATCAAGATAATGTACAGAATCCTTCCAGCTCACCCCTTGGAGAGGTTTCATCAGTATCCTCCCTTCCAGAAGGAGGTGGAGCTGAAGGCCCCCCAGCATCAGTAGCTCAGAATAATTTGACATCTCATTTAGTAGTTTCACAGAACCAATTAATGATGACGGGACCCAAACCTGGACTGTCTCCACTTTCAACTGCACAAGGTGCAAGTCCCCAGCAGCAGTCTAATTCTCTGCCTAGTGCTCTTACACACCATTTTCCAAATGTTGCCACCCCATCACAAACTTCAAGGCCTAAAACCCCAAACAGAGCAAGCCCAAGGCCATACTATCCTCAGACTCCTAATAATCGTCCGCCTAGCACAGAACCATCAGAAATTAGCTTGTCTCCAGAGAGACTCAATGCTTCTATAGCTGGTCTGTTCCCTCCCCAGATTAATATTCCTTTACCTCCCAGGCCTAATCTCAATAGAGGATTTGATCAGCAGGGTCTTAATCCCACTACTTTGAAGGCCATTGGACAAGCCCCATCAAATCTCACAATTAACAATCAGTCTAGTTTTGCTGCTCCACAGTCACACAAATTGGAAGGCGTGGTCATTAATTCAGGAAAACAAACCAACACTGGAGGAACAAAGAGAGCAAGTCCAAGCAATAGTCGAAGGTCTAGTCCTGGATCCAGTAGGAAAACTACACCAAGCCCTGGCAGACAGAATTCAAAAGCAGCTAAATTATCATTGACAACTCAGCAGAACCCATCTCTCTTGCAGAACATGGAATTACAAAGAAATATGATGGCTGGTCCCTCTTCTTTGCCGACACCTGTGACTACAAGTTTTCAAAATAATAACATGCTAAGTAATCAGAATCCTGCTATTTCTGCACCTGCTATGACTGGCATTCCTGAAGACAATAAAGAGAGCCTTAGTGTGCCTCAAGATAATGAGTGTCAAAGTGCACAAGGTGTCCAAGGTAACAAAGACCAGCCGAGTATTGAACTAAAAGGTATCCCTACTCCAGAAATGAAAATGTTGGTTTCAGAAGAACAGTCAAAAAAAGATGGGCAAGCCTTAGACACCAGTAAGCTTCCAGTCATGGAGGAAAGTAAAACCATGGTATCTCCAGCTATGAGGGAGGCACCAACTTCTTTAAGTCAACTTCTTGATAATTCTGGAGCTCCTAATGTAACCATTAAGCCCCCTGGGCTGACTGGTCTTGAAATGGCACCGATAGTCACTACTGGTGAGGAGCTAAAGAAGATAGCTGTCATTCCTCCACTACAAGATTCATCCTTGAGCAAAGAGCCATCTAATTCACTTAGCTTGCCTCAAAATAATGAGCCCTGTTCAAATCCAGGGCACCAGGAACTGGGAGAAATGAACTCAAATGTTGCACAGAGTGTTCCTCCAGTAATGCAAAGGCCTGTCAGCTCTTCTATTTCAGGTTCTTTACCCCCCAACCAGATAACAGTTTTTGTAACTTCAAACCCTATTACATCTTCTGCTAATACATCAGCACCGTTGCCATCTCACTTGCAACCTGCGTTGGTGTCGACTGTTGTCACAATGCCCAACGTAGGGAGCAAAGTTATGGTTTCTGAGGGACAGTCAGCAGTTCAGTCTAACTCCCGGCCACAGTTCATTACACCCGTTTTTATAAACTCATCGTCAATAATTCAAGTTATGAAGGGCTCTCAATCAAGTACGATTCCAGCAGCCCCGATGACTTCTAACTCTAGTCTAATGCCTCAGTCAGTTGCGGTTGTTGGTCCTTTGCACATACCGCAGAATATAAAGTTCTCTGGGCCCGCTCCTCCCAGCACATCGTCCAGCAGTCCTGTTTCTAGTATTCCCACCAGCAGGCCACTGGTTCTTAATCCCTTGGCACCTCCTATTCAGCTGTCTTCTCCTGCTACAACTTCTTCCAATGTTCCTTCACATCCTCCTGCTCAGCAAGTCAAAGACTTCAGCCCAGAGGAGACCACTTCTCAAAGTGGTGGGTCAAGCGACCAGGGCTCTGTTACAGCAATGCAGTCTGGACCTGTGGTTTCACCTCTTCTTACGAGTAGTCCAGGATCTGGGAACAGACGCAGTCCTGTTTCTTCGAGTAAGGGAAAGGGAAAAGTAGACAAGATTGGCCAACTCTTGCTGACTAAAGCATGCAAGAAAGTCACTGGCTCCCTTGAGAAAGGGGAAGAGCAATATGCTTTGGATGGAGAAGCAGAAGGTCAGGGACTAGAAATGTCAGTCCCAAATAGTTTGGGAACAGAGCAATCACCAGCAGAACTAGATAATAAAACTGTGACACCTCCAGCACCCAGTCTTATAAAACAGAGCACTTCTGGGGCTGGCAGTTCGAGTGTCAGCACTGCGGCTGCTGCTCCTGCCTCTGCATCTCCAAGCGTACCAACAAGCACTCCTCCTACGAGCGTCCTGTCGGTTGTAACCACTCTTGCAGTCCCAGACCCCGTGCCTGCAGCACCAAGCACTAATGGTAGTAACCACAGCAGTTTACCAGCTGAGCAAACTGGGGTTGGTGTGGTGGAGGAAAAAGCAGGAGCACATCAGGAACTGCTACAAAGTACAGGTAAGTCCAGTGCTACCCTGCGTAAGTAGAAGAAACAAGATTGCTTTTGTTAACTTCCTAGGTGCTTTTTTCCATTAACATAATAAAATTTAGACACTGTAGGCAAGGCCAACAACTGCTTTTTTGTTTCTAATATCCGAGTGACACAGGCTTGTATTTCACTGAGATTCACGTTTCAGATGTTTTATTTCAGTTTCCACTTACTGCTTAGATGGGGTATTTGTCATGAACATATGATGCAGTAACAGAGAAGTGACTTCATGTAACTCTTAGAATTAAGGAGAAAATGTGGATGTATCAGTAATGACAAAAGTAGTACTTAAGGTGCCTTTTATACTGTTAGATATACTAGTATTCTGCTTCAGTCTTGCCAGACTTTTCATTTTTGTAACTTATTTCGATTTATTGACTTAATTATGATATTTTGAGTTAATCCTAATAATACTAGTTCCCTTTTTGAATAACCTTAACCCTCTAAGGAAATAGCTGAACAACCTCCAGAAGAAAAAGAAACGCCAAAACCCCTTATGTCTAGGGAAGAATTAAAATGCTCATTTCAGAGACATACCTGAAAAAGTTATTATAAGTGAATTGTGTCCAATTCAAAAACATAAAATACCTTCACGTCTGAACTGTTTTCTCCTTTACCATTTTAATTTGAGCATCTGACAGACTTTATTTATGACATTGCTGCTATTTCTTGATGCTGTTTTTAATCTATTGAAAATGGTGTGGAAATAAACCATCACTCTTGAAGTAAGCTGTCCGAATATCCATTGTGCTTTACATCATGAGTTTAGACACAAAAGATAAAATCATGGAAGATAAAATCCACAGAAGTCAGTGGAACTGAGAAGTTCAGCTTGAATGTGACTTTCCCTGTGGCTATTAGGTTGTTGTAGCTGTATGCCACTAGAAAATGGAAATTATTACTTTGAGCTTCACAGAAAGAATTCTGGTTTGTAAGGAGAAAAATGGAAGTGGATATTCTTTAAACAGGAATGTTTAACTTTTTATCTTGATGTTCTTTGTAAATTCATTATGACGTATAAGAGGAGACTAGAAAGCATTAGCCCAACAAGAATTGTTTTTCCATCTTATTTTTTAACTTGGCAACCTAAGAAATGTTAAGTCACATGATCTTATTGCTAAAGGACTTCGAGGGAGCCTCTGGAGCATATTTTGCCCTCTTGCAATTTAATTGAAAGAGTGAGGGCATTGATTCATTAATAAAGATGCTGTTTTTCCTCAGAACTTCCGTTGAAATGAGCATTAAACTGAGAGGGACTAAACTCTTTAATTTTTAGGACTTTGTTTCATTTCTCAGTTTGGTGAAAAGCTGTTACCTTTAAAAATGTGTTTTATGATACTTAATTTCATCACTTATTCTAGTTTGAGAAAAGTCGCTTGGGATAGTTTTGCCAAACTTTTTTCTAAAACTGGGGAGGTATGTGTGGTGGGGGGAAAGTAGAGGGTAGGTTAAAAAAATTGCATCTGTAAATGAAAAAATGCGGTAAGCTGGAAGATAGAGCATTTTGTAAAAGCAGCCCAATTGCACAACAGAAAATTCTTGTGACTCCCTTTGAAAATAATGCTTTTTCCCTCCACTTTTATTCTAGCATCCTCTCAGCATTTAACACAGAAAAAAAGTTCAGTTGCACCATCAGAAAGTACTGTTCAAAGAACAGGTAAATCTTACTTTGGAAAAGCGGAATATAAGTGAACTAAACTCTTTGTAATTGAAAATTCATTTATTTTAATGCATATTTAATGGTCACTAATATGCTTGGTAGTTTGGGGGTTGTTTGTTTTTTTTATTTTTTTTATTTGTGCTTTTGGGATTGATTTTCTTTTTTAGATACATTGTGCTTTAAAAGTCTCCAAAGCCTTGTTGGAGATTCAGTATGGGATCAAGTAAAACAAATGAAAAAATCACCAGGGCAGTTTTTAGATAGTCATAATCTGTGGAGAGACTGCATTTGTAATGATATGTTGTGTTTGAGTTTTGAAGTTTTGTTAAGAGCAAGTAGGAGTTTTTCTTTTATGTGGGACACTTCTGAAAATATTTTCTAAAGCCATGCTGGGACCATAAGTTTTAGAGTTTCAACTTTTAATGAACCCTCAGCAGTGTGTCAAGGATGGAGCCCTGGCAGATTACTTTTTGTTGTTGTCATCTATTATCATGGTGTCTCACCATCAGTTCTGTGGTGTTTTAAAAAAGTAATTTCCAAGATGAGTAGGGAAAATGGATAGATGTGGACTTGCGGATGGGAAGTGCCACTCGCCATTGATTTGCCATCTCTAATATGATTAGAAGTAGAGCTTTCAGAAAGTACAAGTTGTATTAAATTCCTTTCTTTGAACTTCCACTTAAACAAAGATGTTCACACACCCTGTCGATTGGCATCTGACTCATTGCCCCAGTGCTGATGTGGCTGCATTAGGGAGTTCCTGCTGGGAGGGGGAAGCACTGACATTACTGACTTTTATTATTGGATATTCTCCCCATTCAAATTTTGAGTAGAAAGAAAAGTAACTCTTTCCTTATGTTGCTTAGTCTATTCTTCTTTTGTTACCAAGAAATCTGTTTTTCCTAGATGGTGCTATATACACTTACAGTGAAGAGTCTGATATTCCAGCAATACAAATTGTAAGGGGTATTTAACATAAGGGAACAGATACTATCTGTTTTCTTACTTTTTTTACACCTTTGTTCCTTCTTCTTGGGTGCTAAATTGATCTTAAAGGCAAAGCCACAGTTTTATGCACCACTATCCCAAAGACTGCAGGTTGTTTAAGGGTGAGACGGAGTAAAGGCAATGTGACAAACAAACAGTGAGTTAATACATTACATTGTAATGGTAGTCCCTAAACCAGTGGCAGTTTCTCATGAGAGGTGCTGTGTTTAGGTATAGATAATCCCTATCAACAAAGAATCTCGTGGATATGGGGAGAATTAAAAGATGGATAGTAAAAAGATTAGGTATCTTATATGATAAAAAGGAGAGCTGTTTATTGTGGTGAAGACTCAAAAGGAAACCTGATCTTTATGTATAAAATCACTATGTAAGAGAGAGAGAAAGAAGGCAGGTCAGACTTCTCTTTACATAATCTCCTGAGAGATTTTTTCAATTCAGTGGAAGTATAATTGGGCTTCAGAAAATTGTCTTCCTTTGCATTAGAAGATATTGCTCCGAGAGTTGGTGGGGTTAAGGCAAAATTTTACATGCATAATAGATCCAGATTAGTGTTTTTAAGGTTTAAACTAATAAAACCTAGAAGTTTTAGAAGCAATAAACTGTCTAAAATGGAAGTTTAAAAAGGGAGAGGACAGTAGCCCTTGTCAGGAAGTTTCTCTACAGTTTTCTTCTTCAGGGTTCCTTTTAACTTTTCTCTGTCTTAGCTGGTGCAGGCCATAATCAGAAGGAGCACTTGGCTGATGTGGTACTTATTGTTAGCTTGCTTTGCCTTGAGAGAGAGAAGTTTATTCTTCAGACCTAATACATAATGAGAAAAAATGTGAGATAGTCATGCCTTGTCAGCGGATATGTATTTCTACAGCAGACTTTAAAATTATCTTTTTCTTTTGTAGAACTTGAAACAAATGCTCCAGTAGTTGCTGGTCAAAGGTAAGGAGATAGTTTGTGTAGATTCAGAATAGATATAGCTTTCATGGGAGGAAGTCCCTTTCTCTTTGCTTCAGTTGCACAACTTTTACTACTGCTCTTCATTTTCTTGTCCATACCCTTTCTGTCCTGCTAAGAAATTGGGATAGTTGAATGTTTCAAAACATTGCTGAAATGTAGAATGTAAGGTAACTTTTTCCTGAGTCTGTCTTCATGATTTGGGCAGTGTTTCCTCTTAGCCCTTCAGCCCTGAGTGTTGCATGTCTTGATGGTTCCACTGTTCTGATATTTTCTGGAAAAAAATCAAAGCCAGAACCCCCAAAGCCTGCAGCTTAGCTGTCATGTGAATCTTTGTTTTCTGAAAGTAAGTCTTTCTGAAGTTTGTTCTTCTTCTGCCTTTGTGACTGTTTTCTCCAGGCTTCCTCTGTGTTTTCTTGTTGACACTTTGCCGAAACCTGATAGGGAAGCCAGGTTGAAACTTCCATCTTGTCCAGATTAAGACATTCAGTAATTAAAAGATCAAATTTCAAATGGTTCTGTTCTGTCAGAAGAAAATATGGTTTCCAAGATCTATTTCTGTTAGATTCTAAACCCACCTGGCTCTTAAATTCAGCCTAGGCAGCCGTAATGACAGACCTTCATAAGGTTTTTGGATCACTGTACTGGCACAACTGACCAGGTTTTTGATGCTGCTCTCGTCAGTGGAGTGATCCCCTAAGGCAGGGCAAGAGGTGCAATTCACTCATTTGGTTCAACTGGAAATAAGGCAGTGTCGTCTTTTGTAAGGGAGGTAATGCAGTACATTTTCTCAGATCAGGAATGACTCTGTATTCAGTATTTAACTATATTTACCTTCACATGGATAGGGATCTTTCTAGTTTTATCAAAGACGAACTGAAATTTCACAAGTTTTTTTTAGGGTAGAATTTTTCTAAAAAGCTGGAGGTGCAACACTTGGCAGATGAGCGGATTCTCCAAATGAAGTGTCCCTTGTGTGACCATTCTCCAAACTCAGTCAGCACATGAAGTTACCATAAGTGCCTTTCTCTGTGGATTTTTCTGGACTGATGCTTTTCTGAGCACGACTGGAAAAGAAGGAAAGTTTTCAGGCAAACTGTGAATCTAGTGATGGGCTGATACAGCGGTCAGCTTTGAGCTCCTGGAGCTCAATGCCATATGGTACAAACCTTAAGAGGAACCTTGCAACCTGCAAAGCACTAGAAATATTTTTACTTGGGCCAATTTGATTTCCTCCTATAAAAGGAGAGAAGTGATGTGTTGGTTCCTATGAGACAATCCAAGCAATGGATTAGTCACTAGAATCTGTAAAAATTCTCTGTAATAACTGAACTTCATCTGATAATGCCCGTTTGCTTACCTCGAGATATCCTCTGAAGCAGGTGGCTGTTGTTTCAGCTGCCCAGGTTACTTAGCAGAAGACCAGTTTGTGACCTGTTTGGGGGATTCACTTTATAGATTGCCCATAATATTGCCTTACAGGGAAATAGATTTCAATATTTATTTTGTATCTGAGACAATCCACATGCTTCCGTATTCTCCTCTGCTGTGTTTTCTTGCTTGAGAATGTTTGTTTCTCCTTTCATTGACAAACTGTGTTTTATTTCAGATGTCTGTTACTTAAAACTACAAGTATTTGTAGTAGTTTTTCTTCTCAAAGCAGGACTTCCTCTGAAACAGTGACACTGTAGTGGAACCTCTGTAATGCACAGGTCTGCTCTGTGTGTTTTCAGTCAGTTCTCTGATTCAGGTAGCCTTTCTTGAAATCTTGCAAGTATCACCCAAAGGGCATGAAATGAGTTTTATTTCTCCTTTTCCATTATCAGCAGAATAATTTATTTGGCTAATTACTTACCTTTGAATTCACAGCAGATAAGTTTAGCTTAATCTTCAGAAACCACTTAGTCATTGGAAATTGTCTGGCATTAATGCATTAAGGAGAAAATACCCAAACCTCAGAATAAGGTTACAGGGTTAAGAGTGATAAAATAAAAGAGGGGTTTAATTGCAAAATGTAGCACTCCATTTATTGTCTCAGTGACAAGAAACACAGATTTCCACACTACCCAAAATTATTTTTTTATACCAGAAAAAGTTTTCTGTTATTAAAAAAAGGATTTTAACTTCAAGCTTTAAAGCTTGAAGAAAGTTTTAAATAAACCTTAAGCTTTTTAATATGTGAAGAAATCACTTGGATCAATGGAGTGAGTCTTTTCAGCAAAAACAAAAGCTGGCATACTCACAGAAGAGTTCATAATTCCTCATGTTCATCTGCAATTTCAACTCTGTATTCCCATATCATAGCAGTCTCTAATGTAACTTGTTTGCTTTTCCTAGACTTCAGTAATGGTGGCACCTGTGGAAAACAGAGCAGACAATTTATAATGCATCTAATTTCTTGGTCTTCTAATGTTGAAAATATTCTCTTTGAGGACTTCTCAATTCTGTATCCTCTGATAATTTTTAATAGAAATGGACTATACTCTGGCTTACTCAGGTCATTCTTCATCTGATAAAACTTCTGGTATCTCTAGCATTTCATATCTTCAATGCTAATAGTCCGGAACTGGTACCTGTGTCGGTCCATCCTCCAGCTTGTCTGAGTTGCATAGAAAAACATAATTCTTCTTACACTTCATCAGAAATATTTTGTCCCACTTTATTAGTAATGAGACAAAAGAGAATTGTGAAAAGTCTAAAACTCCAAATAGAAGAAATTCAAGAACAGAGGACTCTGCCGCTTCACAGGAAACTGTAGAGAATGGACAGCGCAAGAGGTCCTCCAGACCAGCATCTGCATCCAGCACTGCAAAAGGTAAAATGCACAGCCATCATTTCCCTGGAGAGGGCAGGAAGTAATGTACTTCCCCAAATAATAACCCTTTCAATAGCTGGCTCATAACGATGGTTTACAGCTTGTAAATGTTGTGTGCTTTAACTCTAGTTTCAATGATTTAGACACAGGTTGAAATGTTTACCGACATCTGTACTGGCAGTAAATCTTGTATGAATTTCCCATTGTTAAATTTGTGCAACTTGTTTTCTGCAGTACTCATCAACGTAGTGTTCAGCAAGCTTGCTTAGTTGAAGTTGAATTCTCTTGGCAGAAATGTGTTGCCATTAAAAGGACTGTACTCAAGTAAAAAAGTGACTTTTTTTTTTCCCTGAAGCCTGAAAGACACAAGACAAATGCTTAAGTCTTCCCAAGTGCATGGTCAGCTCTTGTGAAGCCAAATGCTGTAGTTCAGGCACGCTCAGAACGCTGCCTGGATGGCAGCCTGGAGCATCAAGGAGTGCTGTGTGCTAATGCACAGAGCCTCAGCTGTTCTTTCCAAGGACATGTGAAATCCTAAAGTTACAGATATTAACCCATGGCATTCGCAGTTGTTGACGTGCCTTATTTCTACACAGGTTACAATCTTTAACAAAGTATGCAGCATTTGTGTGATACATGTGGTCATTACCGGAATGCATGGTCCATGGTGCCATTCTGCATTTCTGAAGCTAACTGTGTCAGCTCCTTATGTTTAAGGGTCAGAAAAATTCTGATGGATGAAAGTTGTGCGAGAGGGTAGAGAAAGACCGTCAAGAGGCAACATGCGACCAATATTTTAAAGATAACATACAGAACAAAGAGGTATTAATACAAAACTATTATGAAAGGAAGTCAAGTTGAATTCAGCAACCATTTTCCATACTGAAGATATTAAAAGTTTGATGGTAAGAACATTTGCATTTAAGAATTTCAGAGACTTCCACCTATACGTAATTGTGCAGTGACTCTCAAAGATTATGTAGAGGGACCTATATGTTCTGCACTTTTGTGGCTGCTGAATTTAATTAAATTTACTTCTTGTGCAGGATTGTGCAGAAGAATCTAAATCTGTATTGTAAAAATAAATTATCTTTCATGATTGTGAAGAAAAGTTTGAAAAATGTGAAGCCAATGTAAAATTGATTTGGTGATACCTTCCTGAGTTTGAGGGGATCTGAAACGTATGACCTGCCCCACATACTGTAAGGAATAAACCTAAAGATGACAACCAGTGGCATGTCAAATTCTGAAAATGTGGGAACATGAAAGTATGTCAAATTTAAAAAATACCAGAACTCACTTAGGGGTTTTGTAATGACTGTATTATTCATTTACCTCTCTAAGTAAAATCATTGTTTTTAAAACATGCATCTGAAATTGCTGCAGTATCTAAGGGTTTTGCCTGAAAACATAGGTCTAGCTTACTGTGTAGTATCCTGGGCTTTGATTACCTTGTCTCCATGCAAGCAACTGCCTACTTTCAAGTTGTAGAGAAAACGAGCAAAACAAGACTCTCTTGAGGAAGAGGACAGGCTGGAGGATTAGTGAGGTAGCTAAAGAAGTGTAACAGGGTTTGCCACTTGTGCCTACTCTTTTCCACATTTTTATTAGTGAATCATAGTTTAAGAAAGCACATTTGTTTTGTATGCTCCTGGCCTCCCTCTAGACATCTATGGTTACATTATCTGTGTCCTGAGAAACTCGCTAATCCATGTTAAAGAGAACGCGGGGCTGGGAGAAGTTACCTTTCAAGATAGAGGCTGATTAAGGTCATTATAAAAATGGTAATTAGGAACAACTTACAGCAGGGAGAGAGGAGTAGACTTTGACCAATTCATGTAGGAATTCCCTTGCTGAGCATCAGGAAGGAGGCAGAAGGATAACTGTAAGAGAAGAGGATACACTGAAAGTCAGCCCTCATCTGTAAATACACAGCCTGTTTTGGTGTCCGGTTTGGGGTTAGAAGCAGGCGAGGGAGATGCTGGTGATACTCACAAGGCACTGGGGACTGGGACGGGTACTGACTGCTGCCCCATTCATTCTCCCAAATATGGAGACTTCACCAGCAGCAGGGATGGCTACAGCTAATGCTGCTACTGGCCAAGCTACTTAAAAGTAGCGTTGCTGCTTGGAGGGAGCTCCGGTGACTGGAAGTTGTGCCTGTTAAGATGTTTCACTTCTGAAAACTGATACTGTATTGGTATTTTCACTTTTTGCAGTACCTTTCCAGCAAGGGCTGTTTCAGCATTTACTGTAGCTTCATGTTTGTTAAATTTTGCAATGTTGTTTGGTTCTGTGTTTTTTGATTTTTTTTAATATGACATTTAACAGGCATGAAGTTGTACCATTGCTTTCCTAGTTTTAGATGTCTTGGAAATTTTTTCCCTTTTGACTCTTAAAATACACACAGCTGTAATAGCTTTTGGAAAATATTGTAAAGATACATTGCCAACATTTAAAATCACATTTTTAAAAAATCTGAAGATGCAAATACTCTTGGTCCTTACTCCTTTTCTTTTTTTTTGTTTTGAATGGAAACAGTGCCTTGGTAAGTGCACTGAAAATGTCATCTGCTTTCACTGTAGGTTCTGCAAGTGCTTCTGGTTGTTCTGCTCCAGTGCTATATAATATTTTGTATCTTTCTGCATAAGCTGTTTTTCTGTGAATCATAATGTACACTGAAGAGATTTGTTTTCTAATGACCTGACTTTCCAAGGACTCAAACAACTAGATTCTTAACTTGCATGGCAGGTTCCAAAATACTGTCCTAAGTGTTTTTTTATGACACCACCTCCATGATGCTTGGGTCTCATTGGCGCAGTTTGTGCCCAGCGCTGTACTGCTGTATCACAGAGACTTCCTTCTGTGGTACAGCTGAGCAAGTCGTGGCATGTGGGGAACTAAAGTTAAAGAACAGTTAAAAATACATGACTCTTATTTTTAAGGCCGTTATATTAGGACTTCAAAATGTTAAACTCAACACTCGGAAATAGTGTCCTACCAGAAGCTAGGGGGAACTTGGTGTTGTATCACTGCTGACAGCTGTCTTCAGGGTAAAGGGTCCATTTGTGTTGCGTCTTGTGAAGAGTCAGTCCCTGTTCTGTGGAAATCCTGGTCTTCAGAGGTTTTCACTCTGGTGTGATTTTTGGAAAAATAAAAGGGCAATCTGTGCACCTCTGGTGAATGGCTTACCGACTTCGTATCCATGCTTTTTTTCTTCTCTTAATTTCAGAGACGAGTGCCAGTGCAATGCAGTCAAAAAGAAGAAAATCCAAGTAAATTACTGCATGGAAACATGAGACTTGTAAATGAGTGTGAATTTACCAATAGCAATTTTGAGCTGTGATTTTTCTTTTTTAAATAAAATTCTGTACAGTAAGTCATTTTAATATTATACTGTTCCCAATAAATGATTTTTTTCTAAAAAACAGATAAATAGATACAAAAACTGGGTTCTTCTAAAACCCCCTGGATTTACAAAGTGAAGTCCAGGGTTAGCACATTAGGTTAATGTGTTTGTATGAAATGGAGGGGGTGGGGAAGACAATTGTAAATTTATTTGTTTCCACTTTTCATAAATTTTAGAATACAGGGTTGTCATTTTTAGGTATTAAAATAATGTATTGTGCTGTTGTTTAAGTACTGTATGTGAATAGCAGTAAGAGGGTTTATAAACAAACCTGATCTTGTTTGGAAATGTAAATAATTTTATTATATAGTAGATCTGATGTATTTGTTGTAGAAATGGACCAGTGAAACAAAAAAAATAAATTTAAGGGTTTGTATAATGTGGAATCCCTCATGCTCTAAATAAATGTTATTGTCCTGTAATTTGTGTTGTATTATTATTAGCAGCAGTAACAGCATCATTCCAAACAGGAATATTGAAGGGATTATTTAGAGCTCTAGGCCTGCAAGTTCCTTATATGGAGCTTTAGAAAGGAATTTGTTTAACCACAAATGAATAAACCGATGCAGCTGTTCCTGCAAAGCAAGAAAAAAACCGCAAAGGCCACCCTCCCGCCCCTGGGATATGTGCAATACATACATAGTGAGGAGACCCAGAAGACACTGCTCCCCACAAATAAAGCTGCTCAGCAGGAAAACACGGTAGAGAAGAATGCCATATTAAATGGTTTGAAGACTTTCTGAAATGCGGTAGCCTGAAGTATATTCATCTGGATAACTACACTGCTATCAGTGGTGACTGGTTTGTATTGCTGCGGAAAGTAGGTCAGCCTCTTTGTTCCAGGAAGCTCTCACAGTGAGAAACTGAGAAGCCAGTCTTTTCAGATCGCTTGTTGCTTTGTGCACAAATAGATACTTATGCCTTTTTTCTTTTCTTATGGAATTTAAAAAATATGTATATCAAAAGGCTGATTAAATATAAGTTGTCATTAAATATAAATTGTCACCTTTTATAATGACTGAAATTACCTATTTGTGCACAAGGGAATAGACACTTAGCAAGGCTAATGTCTCCGGTCCTCACTGTCAGAGTTTGGATGCTCTGTATCTTTTGCACAGGAAAAGTCAGATGTTGGTACACGAATGCCACCTCCTCCCATGCCCCAAGAGCCCCTGTTCTCTGAAGCCCTGGCTCTTCCCCCACGTGCTTGCACTGCTATTACTTGATGGGGTGGGTAGTATGAAGTTGGTTTCCACAAAAAGCATCTACTCCTATTTATATATGCATGTACAAATTTCTGTAGGCACTCATGCACATGAGTTCAGTCAATAGGAAGCAGTTTCTGAAATAGCCCATTTTTACTTCCATCCTCCATGTTGTGTTTCTTAACCCTCATCTTTAGTTGGCCAGTTTGCAGAATTGGTTTTATTCCACATGCCAGTTTGCTCCACGCCTGTCAAAGTCTTTGTTGGAGTGGGAGAGGCCCTGCAGTTTGATGTACCCATCAAGGCTGCCTGAAACACGAGGGGCGGCTGTGCAGGTAACCTGGTGTTCACCCTGCTCTGTGCTTGGCCTTGCCACTGCTATCGCTGGTCAGGTCAGCTGGGAAGTTCTGGAGAATGAGGAGCTGGAGAAAGTCCACAAAACTGGAAGGTCATCTTCACAGGCGAGGTCCGCGTACCAATAAATCAGGGGAAGAGAGGGGCTGCATTCAGGTTTGTGGAAAACGCCACATTGAGGGAAGCAGACAAGCTTGAGGACATGGTCACTGTTTACAGGACCTTGGGAAAGGACAAATGCAAGATCCTACACGTGGGAAGGAGACTTGTACTGATGCCTACTGATGCGCTTGGTAGTAACTGGCTGGGGTCAGAGCCCTGAAGGAGAGCAAGCTAAGCCTGATGTAATGCAGCAAGGAAGGCTGCTGTACCAGGCTGTGCTAGCAGAAGTGTAGCCAGCGGGTAAGGGAAGTGATTGTTCCCCTTTTCTTAGCACTTAGACCACATCTGGAATATTATCACCTGGTTTCCACCACTCCCCCGCCCCCCCATGCAAGAAAGATGTTGCTAACATAGAGGGAACATGATAGAGGGCTGCCAAGATGGCCAGGGGCTGGGAACACCTGGCCAAAGAGGAGAGGCTGGGGGAGATGGGCTTCATCACCCTTTCAGGTACTGGAGAAGATGGACCCAGGCTCTTATGGAGGTGGGTGCTGGGAGGAGACGACACCACTAGAATAAATGGAAAGAGGAGGTTCTGGCTGGATAGAACAAAAAATTCTCCCTGGGGATGGCTGGGCACTGGACCAGGGCTCAGAGAGGTGGCAGGATCTCTCTTTGGAGATTTTCAGGAATTGGCTGGACAAAGCCCTGTACAACATGGGCTGAATTTGGTATTTACCCTGCTGTGAGCAGGAGGTTGGACTGAAGACCTCCTGAGGTCCAGCCCAGCCCAAATGACCCTGTGCTTTCCTGCTGCTGAATTTGGTTTTCCCATGAGAAGGTTTATCAAAGCTCACTCTTGCCAATTTTTTTCATTCCTGATATCTAACCTCAGAGTTCCTTGAAGTGATTCCCCCAGCAGCTCGGGGATCACGGGTATAACACCCAGAGCACCCCTTTGCTCTCCTGGAGGCACTGGCGCAGCACCGCGCTGCTGGGCTCAGAAAGCCCTGTCCCACCCCTGCGCAAAGCAGGTTGCTGATGACCGTGTCCACTCTCATTTGGGGTATCTCCAGTGATGTAGGCTCCTCAACCTCACTGGGCAACCTGCTCCTGTGGTCAGCCACCCTTGCAGTAAAAAAAGTGGTTTCTTATGTTTAAGTGGAGTTTCTCTTATTTTTTTACTTCAATTTGTGCCTCTCGTCCTGCCCCTGGGCTGAGAAGAGTCTGGCTCCATCTTCTGTACTCCCCCCACCAGGTATCTACACACATGGATGGGATCCCCCTGACCCTTCTCCCCCAGGCTGAGCAGCCGCAGCTCTCAGCCTCTCCTCACCTGTCAGATGCTCCAAGCCCTTAATCATCTTAGAGGCATCTCTCTGCCTCTGTTAGAAGGTGGGTGGTAAGAACATGTCAGGCTGTTGTATATGTGCTTGGATAAACAGCTGATGCTGTAGAGATCGGCTGATGTGGCACTCGTCTTTCTCAAGGCAATCGGCATCTGCTTTAGCCCTTTCAATCATCTACTGAGTTTTAGAGTTTGGTAATGGGGAGGGAAAAAAATCCCCTCAAACAGCTCAGCCTGTACCATCCCTCCCCTGTGTGTGCATTCTTGTCTTCAAAGAGGACTTTTTTCTATTGACTTGTCTCTGATAGTTACAGCATTAACTTTTAAAAACTTATTTTAAAAAAACAAAGCTTTTTGCAAACAGGTTTACTCGCAGGCTTTAGATGAATACACATAAAATAAAGTTTAAATTTTTTTTTATTTATTTTTTGTGGTTTTTCTTTGTATTAGATTTTTTTCAGTCAAAAGACAGCATTACAACCTAACAACCAAAACCAGGTTACAAACACACAGGCACACTACATAACATATTCCAGGCAGTCGTGTCCTTCAGTCTGTTGACACACGGCAAATTTTTAAACAATGTCCTACTAGAAGTAGGCACCCTTTCTCTACTAATCTTGCTTACACCAATTTAACATGTAACACACAAAAAGGACGTATTTTGTTAGCTTCGAGTTTTCGGACAAGGTTTCAGTCCTACAGCATAGGTGATGTAGAAAAACATGGGGCTTTTTTTTCCTCTTCTCAATATCCCAATGTGGAAGTTGTCCCACTGTTGTAAGGCATTCAGCAGAGCACGGCTGATAGAGAATGGCTGCATGTGGCATCTGCTTGATGGTGTGGGTCCTCTGCAGCACCCCAATCAGGCCAGCTGTGTGGCTGCTCTGCCCCGGGGTGGTGGTGGGCGCAGGGCTGGTGGCTGGGGACCATAACACTCTCCGATGCGTTTTAGGGAAGGCTTAAGGCAAACTTTTCTGACAAAACAGCGCTTTCTTCTCCTTTCTCTTGAAAGTAAACACCGGCTATTGAACACACCCTCTGTCCTGGTGAAGCACTGGTGCTCGTTCTGCCGCTACTGCTCGCTCTCCATGCTCAAACCACTGAGGAACTGGGGTTTATGCTGAACTTTTCAAAGCTGCCTAAGACATTTAGGATCTGAAATGCTTTTTAGCTAAAAAAAAAAAAAAAAAAAAAAAAAAAGGGCAAAATGTTTTTTAGGGCATTAATTCCGTTAGGCTTCTCTGAAAATCCCAGCATCTACTTTTAAAACAGCATAGAAACACAGAAATATTGAAACTGACTCCCCAGTCATCTCTTGCATAGGATTTTTAACTGTAGTTCACTGATTTATTCAAGTTCTGCAGTTGTGTTAAAAAAAAGATGACAAACTATGAAAAAGGGTGAAAGGCACATGTACAGTCAGTCCAGCATGGAGATGGATAATGAGCGTGGATGAGTTTTACAAGCAGAATACCTAGGGTTGATACATACAAATAAAATATTGCAGTGCTCAGTGGCTCTGTACAGATATATTTATGATACAAGAGAAAATATTACTATTTTGCTGCTATGTCTTGTGCTGTTCCCTCATCCCTAGATTTCCTGAAGCATAATTGTGTTGATACAAAGCTGAGGATAAGATTTCAGTGAAACTTGGGCATAGCTGCTCCCAGCTTCCCTGATGTGGATACATGAGGTGAACATGAAAGAGTGGAGAAACTTTGGGCTCCCCATTTTTAAGCTACACTTACAATTTACTGTGCTGGTTTCCCCCTCCATTTGCAAGGAATAAAATCCTCCCCCCACAGAGGTGATAAAATAAGATCAGAGTGGAAGGTAGAGGGATTTTTTGTGGTTAGCTGTAGCAGAGCCAAAGCTTCACAGCAGGGTTTTCATGCTCTAGGACATGTGGTAGCATCCCTCTAGCAGAGCTTTGCAATTGCTCTGGGTATGGGGCTGGAAAAGCGCCCCCCCCCCCCCCAACCAGCCCAGGAGTTACTAGCTCAGAGCAAGTGTAAGGGGGACACACCTGTGTGTCACCTTGCTGTAAAGAAGAATTCTAAAAAGGACTACACCTAAGAGCCATCTTTGTTATTAAATGGAACTGCTCATCTTTGTCATCCTCATCCTTTTAAGGAAAGAGTTGTGGGTTTAGTTAATGACACAGATCTCTTTTAAGAAGCAAAAAGAAAAGCCGTTTGATGATACATTGATGAATGGCATGAAACGGGAGGCCCTGGGGAGACCTCCTGCCCAAGCTGTGTCTGATTGTCCAGAGCCCATGGCTGATGAGTGCTCCCACCATGGCGTCCTGGAGTAAAGTGGAGGAGAAGGCAGCGTCTCTGACAGGTTTGAGGACACTGATAACCAAAAGAGGGACTTGCCAACCATGCAGAGCCTCTCCCACCACTTCATCCAGCTTCTGCAGCCACATTCATGTCACCTGTGACAGCTGCTCTGGTCATGTTAATGGGACAAGGATCGAGCCCTTGAGGATGCCAGGAAATTATTCACGACACTGACATTGTATTTAGCAGATCTAAGAGAAATAGGCAGAGATGGAAAGCTCGACCTTGAAGAAGACAAGCCCTGAAGCAATCAACCCCATTTAAGGCCCTTTGATGTGTCCCCGGCTGGTCTTAGGGAGAGAGTCCCCTGGGATGGAGAGGCTGTGATTGTGGCGGGTGTCTGTCCTTGGGCTCTGGTCCCCATGAACAGCTGTGCTGAGGAGGTCATCAGACACAGTCCTATGGTGGAGAAGGACCTGGGGGGAAGCTCTGAGGATGGGGTGGGGATGCTGGAGTGCTGGCACATCCCTCCCACCACCAGCAGCTATTTCTAATTGCAGGCAGCAAAGGAGGTGCAGCAAACTGGAGGCACATCTGTGCCACCTGTGGAAATGGTGGCTGTTGACAATCCCCAGTGGCTAGAGAGCCACCGTGGCACCAGCTGAACACAGATGGCCTCTTGTTTTAAACCTGGACACTTAGGGAAGACTTGGGGACTGCCATCACCCCATCCCCAGCACAGGGGAGCGGCGCTCGGCATTGCTTTCTGGCAGGCAGCAACAGGCAGATGCTGAGAATCATTTTTCTGACTTGAGGCATCCTATTGCTTTTTACTGGCTGTTTTCTAATTATTATATGGTTTAATCTTTGGGGACTAGCTTGTTTTTCAATAAATTCACCTGAAATTTAACTTCCACTTTATGCAGGGCACTGGAACTGATATTTATCCTCCACAGAAGTGATAGCAAAGCTGTGTGATTCAAGTCTAGAACCTCACTGGAGTATTTTTTCATCTTTTTTTTTTCTCATTCTGACTGATATGACAAGACATCTAGTGGGTTTTTTTCTCCCCAGTGGGGCTGGATGGAAGAGGAAAAGGTGTCGGTAAGATGTAAATGTAAAATTATCTATTGATGAGAAAGATGCCTAAAGGAAGAGTGAAGATTCCCACAGCAGTGATCTTTGGGATGAACCATGAGTTTACGTTATCCATGATGAAAAAGAAATGCTGACTCCCACGGAAAGAAACATTTTCCTTCCAGATTGAGCTTTTACAGCAGAGTTTTTTGGAAAGCACATTTGTGAGTGCAAGATTCAGAGCATCGGGTGACAAGGACTTTTGCCCCACTTCCCCTGGCAGCTCCCCCCAGCCATGCAGTGCAGGCAAGAGCCAAAATTCAGTGAAAGGACTGTGTTGTGGCTGACGTGGCTGCCAGCGAGGTGTCCTGTGTGTGCTGTGGCTGTGCCGTGACCACTAGCCTGCCTTTGCACGGTGCGGCAAGCAGAGCCATGCAGGGAGCTGCCCTGGGAGGCAGGTTTAGATGTGTCCTGGTGTGATCTGGTTTTCATCTTAAGAGGCGGCACTTCTCCCAGAGGGCTGCCTCTCCCAGTCTTGCCCTGATGGCTGGGGGAGCCTCACCATTCACTTCAGGGGTTTCATCCACCGCACTGGTGGATGGGAAGCTGCTGCCAGGGCCAGAACCAGCTCACCCATCCAAGCCATGGCTGTGGCAGTGCCACGCTGCCCCAGCAAAGCTGGCGTTTACTGAACAGAGATGTGCCCAGGTCTCTCTACTGGGGAATTTCTCCTTCTTTTTCCATGTTTTCATTGCAAAAAATACAAAAATTTCCTCCCACAAATCTGCCTGTCACCTGCATCGGCATTTCTTCATGATTGCTCTGATTGATGGCTTCCCCATCCCAGCTGCCTTCTGATCGCAGGTACGCAGTGGGAGCCAGGCCAGCTGCGGCTGATGCAGAAAGCACAGCTCTGCTTCACTTCCCAAATCGTCAGGGGCTCATTGCTTAAAATCAGTACCTGGTTATTCACAAACAAGCCCAAGGAGGGACCAGCTGCATTCTAGCAGCTGTAAGGTAAATTTCTGGGACATGAGCAAATGAAGAGGGACTGCTGCTCAGGGATGGTTTCACCACAAATGGCCACAGCTCCTTTTTCATGCAGGCACTACATCGGAGCATCAAACCCTGCAGTTCTAACACGCAGCAGCATGTGCAGCCTTTCACTGACACATGGTGCCAAAGGCTCCGGCCACATCCCTGCAGCATCCTTCAGGACTGTGCAACCAAAGGCCCCATGGACAGAAACAAACCCCACAACTGAACAGAGAAGCCTGGAAAAAAACCACGTTTTTAAAGACCCCAGCATATTTGTTTGTCCCTGAGTCCGTGCTCTAGTTTCCCCCTATGCAAGTAAAGAAAGCGGACTCACCCTAGCCATTCAAGAAGGACAGCAGCCTAAGGGCCTCACTGCCAGCCAGCACCGCGTTTGCTTCACCTTCCCATCAAGAGCATCACACAGCTAGTCACAAATTGAAAATACTGGGCGCAAAAAACCACAACCCCAACAAACCCCTGAAAAACTAAAACCCACACCCCTAAACAACCTACCAGACACCTACGCCGTGTTGTGAAATACCTACACATGCACACATGTGCACATACAGAAAAAGTTCTCAGTTTTTAAGCACCTTTCATTTGTTTTAAGATTCGAGGAGACTCATAACCTCAGTGTAAAGGGGTTTTCTTGCTCTGGCAACACTGGGCAGGAGATTTTGTATCAGGCCAGGTCTTGTGCTCACTTGGGCAGGAGAGGAGCATTGCAGGGCTTCTGCAAAATGCAGTTTGAACACACCTTTGCCACAGCATAAGAAGGGTTGATCACACTGGTGGATTGACAGTCGCTTTGCAGGGGGTTAATAGGTGATTATTAGATGTTAATACACAAGCAAGTGTGCCAACAACAGAAGGAGGGATTGCAGGAGCCCATATATGCTGTGGTAAGCGCATTCTGTTGACCTGCAGGATGCTAGGACTCTGGATTAACCTCTTCATGAAAACATTATTAATAATTTATTAATCCTTTATAAACATACTCTTGATATAAAGTGTAATAATAGTTCTGCTTCATGTACTGTGTTGGCTGGGCACAGCGTGATGAAAGATGTCTCAGACTGGCATGGAAAGAAGAAAGGAAAAGAAAACAGTTTGCATTCACTTCTGAAAACCAGGACGGAATAACAGAATCAGCCATTTGAAATGGATGCTGGGTGCCGGCTGTTGGCAGCCATGACTGTGCTCAGCCCCCTGGGAGCATGGCCAAGGGTTTCTGGCTCACAATGGATGAGCGGGACGCAGAGGAGGGTTTTGATTAGGGGTTTCTCCTACTGGGGTACTGTTTGCAAGCAGACTGGTGGGCACAGGAAGGCCCAGTGACAGGTGCCCCAGGGACACCATTCCCAGCCAGCCTTGCTGTCCCCAGCCCATCTTCCCCTGGGAGCTGCACAGAGGGTGATGGTGTCACAGCCAGCCTCTGATTTTGGGAGCGCTCTGGAGGGACTGGCAGCACCTTGGATGTGCAGGAAGAGAATTTGCAACAGAGAACCAGCTGGGAGGCAAACCATTGCTTGGCTTGTCCACTTCTTGATATATATTTGGACTAGAGAAAAAAATGCTTCCTCCAACGCTGTTGCCTGGTGGCCACAGAGCATATCACCAGCGACATGGGCAAGAGCAGCATGGGAAAGGCAGCCCCTCATCAGAGATCCATCGGACACCCAAGAGCTCGGCCTCAGCCCCTGCTTGTCTTCACAAGCACCTGTGCCAGTGTTCCTATAAATGGCACGTTCCTGGTTCATACCAGGCATCACTTCAGGGGGGAAAAAAGGCATTGAATGTGAAGCCCAGGAAGCCAAAGGATGTACATGTTCTCGAGTCCGGCAGTCATCAGTCTCTTCACCAAGACAACAGAGATGAAATAGGGCAATCTCCAGCGTGGCCTTAGGTTCGGTGGCAAGGGATGGCAATTGTGACGAGGCCCAAGGAGCAGTGGGCGAGGCCAAGGGCTGGGAGGTAACGCCAGGTTCCCCAGCCTGCTCTTCCTCTGCTAATAACTTAATGCTAACGCGCTGTGAAAAATCAGCTCCAGTGCCGCCATGCTTACCAGAAAGGCTGAAAAAGCAGCAGGCCAAACCAGTGTGGCAGATGCAGAATACAGCCCGGCGTCTCCACTGGCACAGCAGCCAGTGCCACACTTGCCCCGGTGGGCACTGGCTGCTGCAGCCGGAAGGGCAAGAGGCATCACATCACTCATGTGATGAGGGTGTCGGGTCTCAGGGGGAGTTGAAACAAGAAACTGGGCGGGAAGAATTGAAAGGGAAAGGCTTAAAAGGCATATTTGAAATTGTTTTTTTGTTCTTTCTGTGCTTTTAGGAATGCCATGTCATCAGAATGAAAGATAAACGCTGCAGGTGAGCATCATCAGCCGGCTCCCCTGTGGTCCAGGCTCCCAGGCACAGAGCTGGGGGGTGGTGCTCGTAAGAGTGTTCATTTTGTTTTTAATCTCATTAAAATAAAAAAAAATCAATAAATATCACCTGTTTGAGATTGGGTTAACCACAGTTCCCTCAATCTAGGTCCCAAGCTGATATTAAGGGATGTAACATGGCGAATGGAAGAAACTCCTGTGAAATCAGCATTTTTTTGGGGGGTAGGGGTATTTCTTGTCTCAGAGGGTGGGAATCCAGGCTGTGAGCTGGCCATGAGCAGGACATGATGGCCAGACCTTCCCTGGGGCATGGGGTGCAAAACCAGTCCCCAAAGGGAGGGAGCTGGGGGAGGATCATCAAATTTCTGCTGGGTTTGGAGCCATCTCAGCTGGTGCTAGAGCCAGTGAAAAGTCTGGACTGTGTCCTTCGAAAGGCAGAATGAGTCTGTCATGGGAAGGGGAGGGATTTGCATTAAAAATCAGCATTGCCCACTCCGGAATTCGGCCCTTCACAGGAAAGGATGCAATTTTTAGTGAGCAAAGAAGGCATTCCTGTTATGGCTCCCCTGCAGCAATCCTCTCGCCTGGCCCCACTGCCCAGGCCTGCCCCATCCTCTCCCTTTGCAGCCGCTCCCAGGCCCATCTTTGCCCCTACTTCAGCCTCTTCCCTCCAGCCTCCTCTTCGGCATCCCTTCACCACGAGCTTCAACGTGCTTTTGCCACCTCAGGGAAGCTGCACAGGTCCCTGCCTCCACTCCCCTCCCAGGGATCAATACCAGGCAGCCAATGCTCGTTGGCTTCAACGGTGCCTCTTCCAAGTATATAGGTATATAGAGAAACACGATACGCACATGTATGTATGTATATAGGTGCGGCTTGGGCAGATGAGTGGCTCCAGGAGGAGGGGGCTCACTCAGACAAGGCAGCCAGCAGCTCGGCAGGACCACTGGCCATGGTGACGCTACCGCTGGCCCCGCAGCCAAGGGCTCCGGCAAGGTGCTGGGACAGTGCTTTGTTTCCTGAGATTGCTTTTAAGGTTGTCTTTAAAAAAACACCATGAGGCACCGCGAGCTGCCCGGCTGTCCCTGCCACAAAGGTTTCCACCAGCTCTTCCCCATGACAAGCCCTTTTGGGACCAGCACTGGGGTTTTTGTCTTATCATGGTAAAAAATGTAATTAAGAAATCAATGAGGGAGGGGGGTATTTGCTGGTTTTGGGGGGAAGAAGCATTATTTAGTGTCATTGATGAGATTTTCCTAAAAATCCCAAATCTTGTTGCTTTGTTGCTCGTTTCACTTCCGCTTGGTGTCTCTGCTTGTGACATCCCAGTCTGGCTATCCGTGGAGTCATGATGTTATGAAGAAAGGCACTGATGTCACAGGCTCATCAGGACAAACAGGCTTCACCATGGATTTTGGAAATGGGTCATTTCACCGGAAATACTGATTTCCCGCATGAAGGCTGGCATGGCTGCGAGGGTGGAAGGGGCAGTACAGCCCTCCATGCTGCTGGCTCTGGGAGTCGCTGGCCTGGCCGGTGTTGGGGGCGAAGGGCGAGGGGAGCAGCAGAGGGAGGAAGACGAGGAGTGGGGGCCTGGGCATGCAGATGGCAGGGGTGGGGGTGGTGTGGTTGTGGAGTGAAACCGCAGCCCGGTGTCACCAGTGTTTGTTGGGGCTGGCGCTCCCTGGGTGGTGTTGGGGCGGGGGGTGAAGTCTCCCTCTGCCGGGGAAGGTGGCAGGGGGGAGTGGCGGCGCGGCCGTCCGGGCGAGGTCAGTAGTTGCAGTGGCGCTGGCAGGGCTGGTGGACGAAGGTCCTGGCATGCTGCTTGGCCCCGCGCAGCGGGCGCTGGTGGGCTCGGTTCTGCCGCTGCAGTGCCTTCTGGCTGAGCTGGTGCTTCTCCACCAGCTGCTTGGCCCGCTGCACCCGCCGCACCTGCCCGACCTTCTCCAAGATGGCAGCCTTCACCGAGAGGGACCTGCTGTGGTGGGGCATGTGCCGCTCCAGCCGGGGCTCCGGCACCTCCCTACGGAGAAAGGGGCCATCAGCAGCTGCTGGCACCTGGCCCTTGCCCACCCCGGCAAGAAGGGGACTGGGGTCTCCAACTCCCTCCCCGTCACGCCATGCCCCCAGGATGGACCCGGCCCCCTCCTGCCCCAGCAGCCTGCTGAGAGGTGGGGAGACTCTGGCACTGGCGCGCTTTAGAACACCCAGGATAAATCCAGACACCACCAGGAACAGGGCTATCCCCACAATCCCCCAAAGTGGCTAAGTCCCTTGAGCCCAGAAGAGGAAAGCCAAGCCCAGCCCCATTTCCATCCCACTTGTGACCCGTTTGGTCTCCTGGCCTGTTTCGAGCTTCCTTTGTCCCCCCTTCTGCACCCTCCAGCGCTGAGGTTCCTCTGAAGCTCTTGAGATCAAGATGCGGCCCTCAGGGAGACTTTGCAAAGAGAGAAGTCCTGGAGGAACAGTGTCCCCTAGCCCAGGTGGAGGTTCACCCCAAATTCGTCCTCCTCCCCAGCCGCAGTGAGTGGCTTCTGGGGGAGATGCTGGAGGGCTGGGACTGGGGGACAGCAGGGAGCCCACAGCACAGTGGGACCTGGGGCTTGGCTGGCAGCAGCAGGGCTGAGTGTGTGCACCATCAGGGCTTTCCCGGTGCTGCAGGGCAGTGGAGGGCAGCCATGGGGAGAGGGCAGAGCTCCCCAGGGGCTGCAGCGAGGCTGTGGCCCTGGGGAAGGATGGTGAGGGGCTCCAGCCCACAGCTTCGGGCAGAGGACAGGGCAGTGGGGCCATTTGGGGCATTTCTGTTAAACCTTTCCCGCCACTCCGAAGCTGGACTTTGAGACAGGGAGAAATGTCTGCATCCAGGGCTCCCCTGTGGCTGTGGGACACCCCTGTGCTGGGCCAGTATGGAGCCAGGAGGAGGATCAGGGGGGCCTGCAGCACCCTCCTGCCTGGGGGAGCTGGGAGTCTTGGGGGAACCACTGTGCCTAAAGGCCACCTTGTCCCATTGGGTTTGCTTTGCTTGTGCCATACCTGTGTGAAACCCCGTGTTTAAGCCCAGCCTGGCAAACCACCTGGACAGGTGGCATCAGCACAGGTGGCTGTGCCAGGAGACTCTGCTCGGGGCAGGGGAGGGAGATGCAGCCCTCTCCCACTGCAGCCCAGTGACAAGCTCACAGTCCTGCACTCACAGCCATCTCAACATGGCATTGACATTCCCTTAGCAGAGTATTTTGGGACATGGAGGCTGCTACCCTTGCAAGGTGCCGGCTGGGGCACCCTGCCAGGTGTGCAGGGTGCTCCCTGAGGTGGGATGGGGGGACACTGAGGACCCCCACAGCCCCACTCTCTCCATGGGGATGGGGATGCCGGGACTGACCATCCACCCCAGACCGCCAGCGGGTGCTGGGGCCAGGAGCCCTCAACGAGCACCCCCAAGCCATACTCACCCAGCAGCATCATCCTCGGGGACCTCCCCGTCCACCTCAAGGGTGCTGGTGATGTAGACGGACATGCTGGGGTGCTCGATGAGCAGGTCCTCCATGGGGCTGCTCCCCACTCCGCCGGGGCCGGGCCCCTCTGCAGTAAAACAGGGGGGAGGGGTGACAAACCAACTCTCGTCCATCAAGCAGGGACCGGCCAGAGCCGGGGAAGCGGCTGATGGCAGTGGCGGACCGGGGGGTGCTGGGCGGGATCGCACCGAGCGCCCAGTACCACCAGCACCCACTCGCCGGGCTGTGCCGGGGCGGGCACGGCTGCCTGGGGGTGACAGGGGTGCAGAGCCATGCAGGGCACAGCGGGGAGACACACACATACCATGTACAGTGGGGAGGGGAGGGAGGGAGAGAAAGGGGCATCGTTAGTGCAAGAGACACCCCACCACCATCACCACCATGAGAGATGGGCACAGCACCGATGGGACCTCATGGGGAGGGAGACACCAGCAGTGTCCCGCACCATGCCCCAACCAGCACCCTCCGCACCGGCGCGGCTGCTGGTGCTGTGGGGTCTGGCTTTGCTAAGCCAGCAAGCAATGGAAATGGTTCTGGTTAGGCAGTTTAACCAAAAACTGGGGGAAACCAGCAGGGTTTACCACAGCATTTTTTTTTTTTCCTTCTCAAAACGAAGGAAGAAATTCAGCTGTCAAGAAATGCTGCTTATGCCTGTTCTTATGGCATCTGAGCCGTGCCATGCCACTCCGGAGACACACCGGCCCGCCTGTCCTTGCAAACACTACCCAGCACTTTGCAAACGATGAAACCAAGCATGCACACAGGACAAAAACAGTTCACACCTTTTTTCTGGAAGAAATCAGGGGACTAAATTCTTCAGCAAAGGTTTTTGCCACGCCTTCAGCTTCAGTCCATTAGAGGCCAAGTTTTGGGTGGTTGATCCAGGAGCTGCCCCCCCACACCCCAGCCTTCCTCACCTCCACCTCACAAAAGCACTTGGGCTGGTGTTTTTCTGGGCTGCCTGTGCTCAGAACTACTGGTTGTGTTATGGGAAGGGAGCCTGCACCTAATGTTGGGCTCATCGGGATACCCAGAGCTATTCCTGGCCTCATCGGGGGATTCAAGGGAACTGGTCTCGGTGGGGGATGCAGTGCAGTATCTATATGGACACGTGTGACGCTGCGGCTGGGTAAGGGTGCAGGAGAAATCAGAGGTGAATGTGTTCTTGCAGTGGAGAATACAGCACATGAAGCATGGGGCCGGCATTCACCCCCCCAGCATGTCCCCAGCTTCTCCTGCAGACGATGCCCCAGCCCCGGGGCTTAGGGCAGGCCACAATTAGCCTTGTGAACACGAGAGTATCTTTCTTCAGGACAGTGGATATCAAGCTATTAATAGTTGTTGGCATGCCAGGCTGGAGATTATTTGTCAGCCTGGAGACAGCCATTGAGCCTGGCTGGAGCATTCCCAGTCTGGCAGTACTCCCACAACAGGGGGGCTGCAGGCATGGGGAGCAGGGGACCCAGCATGGCTGGACCCTGCCCCAGCCATCCATGGCAACCTGTCCCCATCCTTTGCCAAGGTCAGTTTTAATGTCCCAAGGAAAGTTTCTGAATCCCCAAATCCCTGGGAGACTTGCAGCTGTATCGCTAAGCACTGGGAAATGCTCTTTGCTCCTTCCCTGGGTGCTGAGCAGAGCCAGGCTGGGCGATAGGGCGAGAGGGGCATCTGAAATGCTCCCGAGAGATCTGGTTAATCGGTTGCATTTTCCAATGTGTAGGTCAAAGACCTGGCTGAGAGGGAATGAATTTGGAGGCTCATTAGGCTGCCCTGCTACTGGGAGGGAGCCAGGCTGTGAGATGCTTGCCAGCCGTCATGGCTCAAAGGTGAAGGACAAGGGCTGGAGCCAGCGGGTTTGGTTTTTAAAGTACTTTGGATAACTCCAGCCTCAGAAATAGGGCTGAAATAAATCAGTCCCTCACTGGCCAGGGAATGCTACGGGAAAAGGCAGTGGCAGGGCTGGTGGCGATTAGCAGGTCCCAGGCAGACACACTGCTGAAAGCCAGCTCTGCACTGAGAGCTTGGCTACTTGGTTGCAAAACAAATGGAGCCATTTGTACCAAAGTCATCCCTGGATCCCTGCTGAGCTGGCTGCAGCCTTGGACCCAGGGATCAGGGCACAGCCCAGCGTTCCTCTGCCTGGGGAAACTCCTGGCTCCTCTGGCATGCTTTGGGCATGCTGCAGCAATTACCAGCTGGCCCAGACACGTGGCAGCTGCATGCCTGTTGCTCCAGGGACCTCCTTGCAACCAGCGCCCTCCTGTGTCACTGCTGTGACCCCCCCCCCCCCCCCGGACAGCCACCAGAGAGCCCAGAGGACAGGAAATCCCCCACAGCTGCCCATGCCAATGCCGCCTATCCACTTCCACCAGCTCTCCATACATAGTGCTCCCACCAGGCACGGGGATGTCCCTGTCCACCATCCCAGGCTTGTCCGTGCTCTGGTTCCCTCTCCAGCTCACTGCATGGGGGAAAAACCCTAACAAATGACTTGCAACATGAAAATGACCTCTGCTCACTGTACAGGGGACAGGCAGGGAGCATCTGCTCCCAGGACAGATGCCTGCAAGAGGGAGGACAAAACCCTCCTCCCAAACCTGCAGGATACATTTGTGGTCCCCTGGGCTGGGGCACCACGACTAACCAGAGGCTGCAAAAGCAGACCATGGTCATCAAGGAGCTCCTGCACAGGCAGGCTTGTTTGTCTAAGTTCACTGCCCAATTTGCAAGCAAAAGGTCATAAAATGATCATTGCAATTGGTTGAGTCATCAACCCTACAATAATAACACCAAGGTCTTAATGGAGCTGGAGAAGCTCTCAGCACACAAGGAATTTGATCTGCCTGGTTGGTGTCAAACAGGGCTAGATGGTTGTTGCCATCCCTGGGAAGAGGGAGCCCCTGAGGGATGGGGACCTTGCATCAAACATTCCTTGTATGAGTGGTGTTAGCATGAGCACTGGGAATGATTTGGGAAGATAAGCCCTTTGGAGTTGAGATTTGCTCCCCTGGTGGACTCAAATGACCCAAGCATGGTCAGATCGCCGGTGGCACATCCCAGCTGGGACAGGCAGGCACTGCCGCTGCCTGCCATCGCGTGCGGAAAATCCCACCACGCTCCACCAGTGCCCAGGAACTGGGGTTTCCCCCAGGGGAACAGGCTCCCCGTTTGCTTTTGGCAGGAGCATCGCAGGGAGTGGCTGAGCCCAGCTCCTCCTGGCAAATTGTGAGCCATGGCACCACTTAGCCGAGGCCACAGCACTGCTGCAGCTCGCAGGCAGACAGCCCGCGTGGGTTGGCATCCCCCACCCCACCAAGCTGCTGGCGGGCAGGATTGCACTGAAACCCTGGGTGACTCCCCCCTGGCTGGTGCTGTGCCAGGGTCCCATCCTGGTGCGGAAGCACATGAAGTCTCCCGGGCAGCAGCAGCCCCAGCTGGGGTCACTGCTGCTGCTGCTCCCATGCAGGCGGAAAGTCCGGATCCACCATTGGGAGAGGAAAGGGAAAAAGGAGGAGCAGATGGGGGGCTGCTGTGGTGACCACAGGGCTGAGTGCAGTGGGCAGGGCAGGGGGACCAGGGGAGGAGGGATGAAGGGCAGAACTCTTCACATGTGGTGAAAGCTCATCTGCCATCATCTCAAGGGGTCTGCCCAACTCCGGAGAGCCAAGGTGCAGCAGAGGCTGTGGGAAACCTGTCCCCCCTGCTTTTCTCACCTGCAAGATCAATTATGAGCCAGCCATCCTCCTCCTCCTCCTCCTCCTCGACAAAGGGTTTAGGCTCCTCCAGGCCTTCTGGCATGTTGCTGTTGCTGAAGAAGAGACTGGTGAGACGCTGAAACATGATGGGGAGCGGTCCAGTGGGATAGACAGTGAGTTAGAGCTACTGCTGAGTACTAGCTTCCAGGCACAGAGATGGGAGCGATGGGCAGGGAAGGGAAAATACAGCACTCGAGGTCTTGGTGGCGGTGGAGATGCTTTGCTGCTAACGAAATTGTAGCTGAGTTAAATGGCGTATAGTGCAGTTCTGAGGTTCTTCACTTGGCTTCAGCGTAAAGGCCTGTAAAAGGGAAAGAAAAAGGAATAATGTATTTGGACTGGTTGGCAGTGTGGCCCTCCTGCATCCCAGGGGCTCAGACAGGCCGGAGGGGATGGTGAAAAGGTGGCTCCAGCACTGATCTGCACCGTGGGCTGTCCCAGCTGCTGGCATCTCCAAGGGCAACACACACCAAGTCTGAAAGCAGCAGTGGAGGGCTGGGTGTCCATGCCCTGCAGCTCCCTGCCTGCACCAAGCCCCACATTGTGTCCCCTTCCTCACGGGCGGTGTGTCCTGGGGGATCCCATCTGCCAAAGCTGGCAGGGGCAGAGCCAAACACTGTCCCAAAGTCAGGCTGGGACCTGCCTCCCTTGACACTGAATGGGCACTAAGCTTTGCTGTTAGGGCAGGGCAAAGGGTGCGATGCTGCTGTCCTATCTGAGGACCCATGGCACAAGCCATCCCTAAAACCCACCACCCACCCACTGATGGCCACACCAGCATGGCCACCCTCCCCTCCTCGAGCTGGGTCCAAAGAAGCCCTTGCCAGTGTTTTGCTCGAGCCCTGCCTGTGCCAATACCTGCTTGAGGTTGGTTTACTTTTGAAAGGCGTTACTGTTATTGTTGCTCTGTGTGTGTGTGTATCTGCAGGGATGCTCTTCTGATGTAGCTGCATTTCATTGCCACCCTCCAGCCCCAGAAGGTGACACTGCCACCTGTCATCGCTGCTCCTTTACAAGGACCTTACAAGGAGCCATGGGACAAAGCACTTAGCTATGGGTTGTGTCTTGGCCCCGAGTGCTCGGGCATCAGTGTGCAGGAGCAAGTGGCAGCAAGTGCGCTGACCCCTCACAGCAGGACAACGTTATCCCAGCCCTGGGTGAGTCTCTGCTTCATCTATGCTCATCCTTCTTTTACCCCTGGGAAAAGACATTCCTCCCAGCTCGGGGAGAGGCTAGGACTCACTAATTTTATTAATGACTGCAAAGCTCTCGGAGAGGCACAGACAGATGGTAGCCACAAGGTGCAGAATATTATTTGTGCAGAAAAAATGCTTTTTGGTCCAGAGACATTAAAGGGCATTAAAATGGCATCAAGAGCTAGATGCGGGGAGGAGGGACAGCTGTGTGCTGCCTTGCTTGGCACATTGCCATGGGTGCATTTAGAGGGCAAACCCCCAGTTCATGGCTCTGTGGACCAAGATGGCATAGAGCCTGCAAGTGATCCTGGACCCTGGTGAAGCCCCACCTGCTCTGCGCAACATGGAATGGGAAGGGTGCAGGGAGGCACGATGTGTCTGAGCCTTGGTCCATACACATGCCAGTTTTCCAACAGCTCAAGTTCTAGCTCAGACCCCCCACAACCAAGTGGCCTCTCCAGCCACTTCCCAACCTTGCTGGGAAGGGTGGTTGGCCTGGGCGCTTGCTGCAGTTCTGGGGCTCAGGCATGCTTGTATTTATCCATCATGGGTTTATCCATCATGGGATTGCCGTGCCTTTTGCCTTTTCCTAGGTGCCTTGAGAGGTACAACATCTGCTCCACAAGGCAGAAAATGAAAAATCAAGAGGACCCTTTGGGTCCATGGGTGGGATCCCCTGGGCTCTGGGGGCTTATCCTGATCTCTGCCACCCCTGGATGCAGAAGGGAGTGCCAGAGCATGAAGCAGCCTTGCAACACCCAGCTCTCCCTCCCTGGCACAGCTGGGATAGCAGTGTGACACTACCTGTCCCCTTGAGCAGGTCTCAAGCCCCAGGTGACTTCTGTTGCCCCAGAGGTGCAGGGCAGACCACATGGCTACAACCGTGCCCGGCTCCAGATCCCAGTACTCAGGCATCTGGTCCCCCCCAAACGCCACATGCTTCCCACTCCCTCCAGGATGGCAGCTTCCCACCTCAGTCATTCATCCCTTCCACTCACACCCTGCGCCTGGATCCATCCCAGGAGAGGCTGCAGCTCAATAAGCTGGGCCCCAGCTGGGAAAGCATGTTCAGAACAGACTTGTCTGAGACTTATGGACCCTCTTGCTATGATGAATTGGAGGTTGGCAAGGATTCCCTGCTCCATGTCCTACTAGTGTTCCTGGCTTCCCCTGGAAGCACTGAGCAGAGAGTTTTGGGGCACTGAGACATGGCAGAGTCATTGCCTCCAACTGCAGCGAGAGCTGCAGGCTCAGCTAAGGCAGCTCTCACCTCCCAGCCCCCCCCAACCATAGCAAAGCCACGGCCTTTCTGTTATCCTCCAGTGTGCTCATGATTAAATTAACCAGACACCCCACTTTCCTGGACCATTAAAGCATAATAATATAAGTTAGGGAAACAACATGAAGAGGGGCTGATATCCAGCTGAGCAATGAATGAAAACTGGCCCATTGGGCCCCCTTGTGTGCTCCGTGCTGAGTACAATGGGGATTTCCCTCCCATAGGACCCATGTGTGCATCCATCCTCTCCCGGGCCAGGCTGGCAAAGGGCACCCAGGACAGCCCTGATGCCTGCGGTATACAGCCATGGCTTCATTACACTCCAGTTCTCACTGCCTGCAATCTGAAATCTGGCATGTGCCTGGAGCACTTGCCTATTTAGTAAATATCTTTTAATATTATTTAATTAATAGATTTATTAAATATCTAATTGTAGAAGAAACCCTGTTGCTGCCAGGTACCTGCTGGTGATGTCTCAGGGCTTCCCGCTGTTTGCTTTTCCCCAGGCAGGAAGGAGAGGGGCAGGAAGGAGCCAGCAGCCTGTGGCAGGGACGGGGGGCTCCGGTCCCCCGAGACGACCATGGCCCTGGCCCCGTGCACGGCCAGGAGCAGGTTCATGTGCTTTTTGAGCTGGGGCAGCTCTGCCTTCAGCATTCCCAGGCCAGCAGAAGTGCTGAGCCAAAGCTGACCCCAGCGTCACCATGAAGCTTCTGAGGGTGACACACCAGGGCTGAAGGGGGCTGGGGACAGCAGCGTCCCCTGTGCTGTGCCCTGAGCCCACCTTGCTGGGGAGGACACCAGCAATGCTTTTGGCCTGCCTTGGCCAGTGGCCTAAGTGCAAATTTCAGTCTTTTTCTCCCCTCCTAGATATGCCTGCCACACAACAGCAGAGAGCTGGGGTCAAGAGCTGGCACACAGGGGACAGGAGGCTGGTGACCCCAGCCTGGCTGCAAGGGGAAGGTCACCCAGAAAAGCACCCAAGCAGTTACCGCAGGCCAAGGTCTGAGCCAGGCAGAGATTTTCCCCACAGCCTCAGCAGAGCCAGCCTAGAATGAGCTTGCTGCTGAACTGCGGGCTGGCTCGGCACGCACAGCCCTGCTGAAGCTCCTTGCCTGGACAGCACTGGCGCACTCCCCTCTGCTCTGCGGGCTTGGCTTGGAGTTCATCCCTGAGTGAGTTCAAAGCCACGTGATAAATTACACAGTCAAAACAGAGAGGAGAAAACCTCTTCTTTTTATTTTGTTAAAACTTGACAGCAGCTTTCACTGAACAGTAGCAAAGCTGGTCTCCACCTCCGCCCCCTGCCCCAGCAGCAGCGCTCATTCCCCTGGCACCCACCTGCTTAGAGACTAGTCGCCCAAAAAATCACAGGGTGCATCAATGGGAAAGTCAGGAGCTGAAGTGTCTGGACTCCACAGGTGCCCACCTTAACCCAAAGATAACTTTCCTTTCCTGAAGACACAAGACATAGAAGATACTACTAGTTTCAATTGCCCCTTCTCCCAAATTCAACTTCATTTTCCTTACCTGTGTAATTAAAGAGCCTGGGATAACCACGCTCCCATCATGCACAGCCAACCCCATGAGAATGGGCTGTCAGGGGCCATCCTGCTCCAGAGCAAACCCACAGCATGCTGGAAGGGCTGGGGCAAGGGGGCTTACAGGCAGCTGCAATAGCTCTGGGGGCAGCAGGAAAGAGTTAAAAGCTCCCCCAAAAGCAAAAGTTCAGCTGGATCATTTTAAAGGAACATTCCTCAAAGAATTTAAATAAGTCACCAGCTATCCCCCTCTCCATGCCAGGGAGCATGGGGTGGCCCTGAACCACCCACTGGTGTGAGGGGGTCTATGCTGTGCCATGGTGCATGGGTGGGCTACATGGGCAGAGCTTGCAGGATCTGCTCCTTGGATAAAGCAAGCCTGCCTCACCCCACAAGCTCCTGCTGCCTGGGGACGTTGCAATCCTAAACAGAAGGTTGGTTCACTGGTAACACCTGCGAAAGCACCCATGCATTGGTGGCAGCACAGACAGAGCCGGCAAAGCCAGGGTGCTGTGCTGTGATCCTCACAGAACGGCTGCCTGGGGCTGCTTGGCCAGACTCTGCCTTGGCTGCCTGTCCTGGCTGGAGCAGGAGCTGGGCAGAGGGACAGACAGCACGATCAGACAGGCCTCACAGGAAGAGAGCAAAGGCTTCCTGAGAGTCAGAGGAGCCCTGCCAGGGCCAGCCCCAATGGCACTCAGGGACCTGCAGGGGAGCTCCTGCCAGTGCAGCTGGCAAAACCTTCAGGATTAAACCTGCATGGCAGAGGCAGGAGCTAGATCCTGGCAAGCAAGGACCAAAATGAGCTTTAATCCTCACCCTCACTTTATCCTGTCTGATCTGAAATCCCTCCACAACATCTGGTTAAAAAGGCAGGATCAGGCTCTTTATCCCTGAGATGCACCTTCAGCAAGTTTGCAGATGACACCAAGCTGAGGGTGCAGTTGATTTGCCAGGGGGACGGGATGCCATCCAGAGGGACTTTGGCGGGCTGGAGAAGTGGGCCCATCTCAACCTCATGAAGTTCAACAAGGACACATGCAATGTCCTGCACCTGGGTTGGGGCAATCCCCAGTACCAGCACAGACTGGGGGCTGGATGGGTTGAGAGCAGCCCTGCGGAGAAGGACTTGGGGGTACTTGTGGGTGACAGATTGGACATGAGCTGGCAATGTGCACTCGCAGCTCAGAAAGCCAACTGTATCCTGGGTGGCATCACAGGCAGCATGGCCAGCAGGTCGAGGGAAGGGATTCTGCCCCTCTGCTCTGCTCTGGTGAGATCTCCTGGAGTACTCTGTCCAGCTCTGGGGTCCCCAGCATAAGAAAGACACAGACCTGCTTGAGCGGGTCTAGAGGAGGTCACGGAAATGGTCAGAGGGATGGAACACTTCTGCTATGGAGAGAGGCTGAGCGGGCTGGGGTTGTTCAGCCTGGAGAAGAAAAGGCTCTGGGAAGACCTTGCAGCAGCCTTTCACTGTATAAAGGGGGCTTAAAGAAAGACAGAGAAAAAACTTTTTAGCAGGGCCTGTAGTGACAAGACAAGGGGAAACAGTTTTAAACTGAAAGAGGATAGGCTTGGAGTGGACATAAGAAATGTTTTACAGTGAGGGTGGTGAGACAGTGGACCAGGTTGCCCAGAGAAGCTGTGGATGTCCCATGCCCGGAAGTGTTCCAAGTCAGGTTGGACAGGGCTTTGAGCAACCTGGTCTAGTGGAAGGTGTCCCTGCCCAAGGCAGGGGCATTGGACTAGATGGTCTTTGAAGGTCCCTTCCAACCCAAACTGTTCTGTGAGTCTGTGAGTCTATGATCACCCATCCACTCTAGAAGGGAGCAGCTCCTGGCCAATGTGTCCTTGAGCCACTCCAGACCCTCCCTGCAAGCCACCAAGAACATCAGCTCCTCAATGTCACCATCATGAAGGGTTGGCAGTGAGTCTTTCAGCCCTTTGTGAGGCAAAGGCTCCTTGGCTGACTGCTACCCATAGCACCCAGATGGCAAGACAGCCACACGCCACCTCAGTCCTTGTGGTTTCCACCAAGCCCTTCTCTGGCTGGGACAGCCCACAGCCATTGGCAGATCAAGCTCCAAAGTTTCTCCAGGTTTTCGGAAAGCCTCCGCTTTCCCTGTGGCAAATGTTTGCCCCATTTACAACAGGGGAACCAGGGCCAGCAGCCTCACAGGAACTGCAGTGCGGGAGAGACCCAAATGTGTCCCTGCCAGGGGATTTAAGTCACTGCTGCCCAAGTAGTGCCTTGTCACCTGGCAGAGACGGTGACCACAGAAGCAGTGGACCAGGAGGTGACTTCTCTGCTCCTCCGGTGGCCAGGGCTGGTCAGAGCTCTGGTACCTTCTTCCAGCCCACCTGTATCTGCCAGATGTCCCACATCCACAGAGGAGGTATGGCCAGCACTAGGGCATAAGAGGACTGCCTGTGCGCCACATCCTTGGGGCTGAGCTGCCCCAGAAACCGCACATCCATCCCCTGTCCCCTGCCAGAGCTGGGGTCACCACCACAGGACAGCTGCGATCCTTCTCAGGCTTCCACAAGCCCCCTTACTCAGCATGGCAACCCCATCCCAGGCCACTGCCAGCACGAGTGGACAGCCCACAGGTGACACTCACTTGGGGACACATGAGTTTCTTAATGAATCAAGTGTATCAGAATCCTTCCAGAAAGTCCAACAGCCTTTTAAAACCAGCCAGAGGGTATTAAATATTAAAAGTTAAAGTAGGAGTGTTGGGGGATGCAACGAGTCTACGGAATTCCTGACAGTTCGAGAACAGCGCGACCTTGAGCAGCTTGTAGTATATCCTTGAAGAGTCTGGAAAGATCCGAGAAGACCAGTACAAAAACAAGATAGTGATAAGAAGAACCGTCCTAACGAACTCACCAATCATGAATTGTTAGTTACTAACCAAACCAATCATATACTAACACATACTCTAAAGAAGGGTATAAAAAGCTGTGTTAGAACAATAAAGTAGCCATTTTGCATGATCTATTACTTGTTGTGTCCGTCTCTACTGCGACATAGGAGTAAGGAAACCATAATCCATCAAGTTATTTTCTTTTCCCCCTTTCAGAAACCTCAACACATTAATTAGTTTTCTGAGTCACCATCACTGCAAATAATCCCAGGAGCTAAGAATAGGCAAAAGGATTGGCAGCAGAGCCCCGGGATGCGCCAGGAACTCGCCAGGGTGGGAGCCACAGCTTCGCAGGACTGGCAGCTCCCAAAAGTCACAGGCTACAAGAACAACAGCAACTCCACTTGGAAATGGCAACAGTCTCCCTTAAAATTTCCATAAATACTCTGCAGCGGGAGCGATGCTGCTGACAAGCGGCAGAAGTGGTCCTTCCTCAGCAGAGCTAAGAATACCCAGTGCAGTCATCACAGCAGGCGTTGGAAGTATAAATCAGGTGCCTTCCTCCAACCCACTTGGGAAATGTTATTTTCAACTCATTTTACCTAAATTAGACAAGGGTTTCACAGGCTGCTCTCACCATGCTGTAGGTACCAAAATCCTAAACCTGGCACAGAAACACAAAGCAAAGGAGAACTCGGTCCAGCAGCTGGGCAGCTCGGGGGCAGGGGGCTGCTCATCACCCCAAAAATGACCAGTGAAGCATCCCTGCGCTGTCCTCTATCTGTCCCCATCGAGGAAGGGACCAGAGCTGGCAGGGACTTGCCTGGGACAGTTTGGCAGGGCTGGATTAAAGCATTTGATCACTCAACAGCTGCACCACAGCTCCTGCTGATCCCTTTCCTTCGCCAGCAGCCTCGTTTATGGGGTTCCCCTGGGGGAACACTGACCACACGGGTAGAGCTGGACACCGAGGCTGCTGCTGGCACGGACAGACTGATGCCAGCAAACCAGAGGCTGATTCACAGCCAGAGCCTCTTCCACTGCAGAGCTGGGAAGTGGAGGCGGGAAGAAGGCAGAGGGTAATTAGAAAAATAATTAAAAAAACCCCTCTTTATCATGAGACTCATTATTAATGGCAGAGCAAGCCAGCACCTGGAAGGGCTTTCCTCAGCCAGCCCAGGAGCTCAGCATGGACTGGAGTCCCCACATGTTCCTCCAGATCCCACCTGAAGGAGGGGGACTTGGGGTCACAGAAAGGGGGGGTGTTTTTCCTGGAGGTGGTGTTCCCATACGCACCAGCTCCCTTGTGTAACTGCTGCAGGAACATCCTTGCCACAAGGATAAGCCCAACCTTCTGCTATTTGATGTCATTGCACAGATCCCAGGAAAATCTGTCAGTGGCTGGCAGGATCTGAGCAACCAGGAAATTCTTAGATTTGCCATGAGCTGTCCTATGAAATTTTAGAAGTTTCCCCCCTGGGATGCACTACGTGAAACATCCCTATGAGCATGCGCCTTGAGAGGGGAGCAGCCCCAATGTTACAGCCTCCGTAAATCACAGGAGGCTGAATACAAGTTGGACTTTGATATCACAGGAGCCCTGAGCTCCCCTCCAGGTCCTCCCGAGCCCACCCGGTGCCATGTATGCACTGGGGCAAGATTTGCCTGTGCAGAGCTTGCTGTGCAATTAGCGCTAAAAAGCTCTTAGATAAGAATTCACATCACAGGTTTTGCCAGTCTTGCTACAAGCAGGTGATACTAGTTTATTCTCGAGGGGAAAAACTCCCATTACGTTTTTCCTTTTGTGTTCAGTCAGATAAGCAGCAATTTGATGCAACGGGTTCCTAATGGTGACAGTGAGCTACAGCAGAAAGCTTTTGTCTTTTTGGAGGGATGAAAAAAATATATGAAAGGAGAGGAAAGATTTATTTTAGAGCAAAAACAATTGTTCTTGGCACTTTGTAGACTAAGCCCGGTGGGAAAGAAGGTACAGCGCAGTCCTGTACCAGAGCCCAACACCTGTTTCTGGGATGGTTTCCTACCTTAGCAAATCCTTGGCCAAATTAGCGACAGCACTTGGCACCTACCCAGCTCAGCCCTCACTGCTGCCGCTGTCAGCAGTGGGTGTTGCTGGTCCCAAGAGATGCACTTTAAGCCAGTAGCTGGGGACCCCAGGGTGCCAGTGCCTTTGCTCAGGCTCTCTAAGCAGGGCTGTAGCTCCCCTGCACACAAGAGACATAAATGTATAGATATAGGTATATGTATAAAAAAATTACAAAACCAAGAATGCCCTTTTTAACATGTTTCTACAATTACACTCCACAGAGTCCAAGTTTTTCAGCTGATGAGCCCCCTCAGATAAGAGCAGGTTTAGTGCCCAGGGCCTTCCAGGGTCAGCCAAGCTGCTGAGGACCAGAGGCAAGAGGCGTGAAATCCATAAGAAAGTTGACCTTTTAGGACTTAGGACATTTCTGAGATGTCCCAAAGCATGTGCACTTAGAGCAGCTATAACAAAAGTAGCCACTACAGGCGGTACCCGACATACTCATGGGCTCAGCTTCCCAGGACCCATCAGTGCCACACTGGTGACAAGGTGGGATGCCACAGCATGGACCTCAGCCTGGCACTCCCAGCATCCTTCACCTGCCATGCGTGGCCCCGTGGCTCCTTCCTGAGCGTCACAGTTAAACTCAATAAAACTATCTAAGCACGTGCCCAAATCTCATTAAAACCGCTGGGATTTACAAAGTAAATCGAGATTTAAAGATGGAGGTATTCAAAAGCATCGAGGATTTGCTGGAAAGCAGTGAGTTAAATAGAAAATACCGATGCAGCTATTTCTGTCTTACATATATTTCTATATTATATATTTACATTCCCTTTCCAAGAAGCCACGTTTTTCACCCAAACAGCCTCTAATAAACACCGGGTGACGCGTCCCACGCGAGACCGGGGCATGGCCGCCGGGGGAGGCAGCACTCCGCGGGGTCACGGCGGGACAGCGCGCCCGGAACGCGGAGGTGGGGAGACACCAGCCTTATGACGTCTCAATGTCATATGCAAATGACGCACACGTCACTACAGCGGAGCCAATGGGAGCGGAGACCAACCTCGAATCTTAATCCGGTGATGAAGAAACAAACAACAGGCGCGGGGGGGG